TCCGGCGAGCTTGAAGCAATTGCGACCAATATTGCATTCAACATAAGGAGTGTCGAATATCATCCCGTGACAGAAGTTGAGTTACGAAGAAGTCGGTAAACATTATCTAGAATGTGTCTAGGATAAGTGTGTGAGTACTTCTTGTAATCATCGTTCTATAGTGGATTTGTTCTGGACCGAGGAGTCCCGTGGATTTTCCCCAGAGGTGGGGTTTTACCACATAAAATAATTCTCTATGTGTTCATTTACTTTTATGCTTAGCATGTTTCAAGATTGATAAGCCATATCAATTATGCTACCGAAGTTTAATTTTTGTTTTTTGATTTTAGTCTTTAATTGGCCTATTCACCCCCTCTAAGCATTCTTAGTCATCCTATAGGTAATGTCAGTATCAACCTTTGGGAGAAAATATTTACATGCAACAAGTGTGTACCACTTCGCTCTAACAACATGCCCTTGATGCGGCTAGCATGTGATTTTTCGGGGAGGTGGATTTGAACTTGAATGTATGGAGGCAGGTTTATTGCACTGACCAATTGACATAACTTATATCCATAACTCATATCTACAACACGTGACTACTTATGTAAAAAGAGTGTCTATAACTCTTATCTACAACACGTGACTACTTATGAGAGTATGGACACTAGCTAAATGAAGTCCCATATAATTGAAGTCCCACAAATATACTTAACTATTTTGCCATAGAAAGATAATAATAAGAGTAGAGTGTGTGTGAATAATAATTCTCAAGAATAAACACAACTTTTAACAATAGTGATATGAACCAAACTTGGTTTTAAATGATTTCTTAACTGGAAATGTAATAACCCAAACCTAAAATTAATATTTAATTATTAATTTATTGGAGGAAAAAACAAAAATGCCCTTAGAGTTTTTATTAGGTCAAATGTTGACCTTTCGACCAAGAAGGAAATTGGAGATTTCAATTACACCGTTGCGTAGAGTGCGACGAAATGAGTCCGTAGACACGTATTAGGCTCGAATTGGAATTATAATGAAGAAAATACAGTCAAAATACGCTCAAGGGCAAAAAGGTAATTTTGGAAAGTCAGATTTTTAAACCCTCAGTTTCTCTCTTTCTTCGGGGGGCACCCCGAGCCCTCCCCCCGATACTTTTCTCCAGCCGGTGGCTTCTCCAAGCCACCGTCGCCGCCACACCCCACCTCCGGCCTTGGGACCGGATCGAAAAGAACCGGGAAGTGTCCCTCTTCCCTTCCCGGCCAAGCCCAGCCGTCGAAATCGCCGGAATCCGCCGGATTTTGCAGAAACCCGATCGGTTTCTGGAGAAAATTTCAGGAGCTCGTTCTCCGTCATCCGGCCACCATTTCCAATGAGTGAGGTATGGTTTCTCACCTATTTCTTGAGCTCTAGCTGCCTGTTGGATAGGAACTAGTTGATTTCACGTGTAGGAGAACGATTTCGAAACCTAGGTTTTGACAGATTTTTCGGGCTACTATTCCGGCCATTTCCGGCCACTTTTTGGGGTAGGTCCAAGAACAAAAGTGGCTCCAAATGGGGTGTTATACCTAGGATAGGAGTCTTGAGCCTAGATGTTGAGCTTTTCCGGCGATGCGTTATCGCTTTAGGCACCACGCGCTGCCAGCGCGTGTGGCGGCGCGTGGGCAGCAGGGTGGGGACCACAGTCAGTCCTAGAATGATCTCCTAGTCCTCACGAACGCGTAGGATTTCGTGGATCTTAATTCGGATATCGTTTGAACCCCGAATGGGTCTCGCCTACTGTGCGATTTCCGGGTTCAATACGTTTGAACCGTTAGATCGTAGTTAATTCCAAGTATGTTGATCTAGGTATTTCCATGATCGTATAGTATTTGACGGATCGTAAAACGGAGTCCTGGATACTCTAGGAATGTCAGATCTAGAGTGAGGTTTATAGATAATTAAACCAGTTACAAAATAACGAACTAGTTGCAGGTCAAGAACAGAGGAAAGAACTACGTGTGGCTTGATCCCTCAGTAAGGGTACGTAGGCAGCCTATAGTTTTTGGGCGCAGCCACGAGTTAGGGTCTCAGGGTTTATGTTACTGTTTTCAGGGTATTTTGGTCATTTACGACCCACAGTTACCAGGTGTCAGTTTTAAATAGGATTCGACCCGGATTTCAAAGTGGAAATTGGGTCGGGTCGTTTCAGGAAAAGCTCAAGCACAATAATTAATTAACCATGAAACAAAAATAAATGAACACAAGCACCATCACAATTGTTCATTATAAAATGCCAAATCATGCCTCAACTCGAAAGTCTAGAAGCTGCTTCTTCAATTATCACACTGGATTCCTAAAGTAGTTGAGAATTAAAACTAGTACTGCTGCAGTGCAAACTAAAACTATTATAACTCAAATTTCCATATATTTGTTTGAGTAATATTCTAGGGGGAATGCTAGCAACCTTCTCTTTTGGACTTTCTCCATTTTCCACATGACATGGGTCACATTCCTTACACTTAAAATAATGTCATGAATGCATAGATTTTGTTTTCCAAGTTTACCCTTATTAAATAAATTTTTTTCCTTAATTGGCTTCCATGTTTCTTTCAATTAATCCTTTTTTTTTCACATCTTTCTTATCGCCTTTTAAAATAATTAAATAAGAAAAGGGTAATGTCATGGCCTTTTTCCATAATTAAAAAACAATTAATTAATTAATTAAAATTATTTTAAAAAATAAGTATTTCTCCCTTCGTCTTCCTCTTCTATGTTAAACCCCCACCCCAAAACTGTTGGGGGTCGTTGGCTTGGTTTGGACTGGCTTAGACTAAATTTAGTACCATGTTTGTTTCATTTAATTCTAGTCTTAGATGAGATTGTTAATACCAGGCCCACCAAAAACACCTCCTTAGAAGGGGACTACTAAGCCCATGTAGAAAGGGAGGATTAACTAGTCCTATGTTCACCAATGTATAAGATGCATATATTATATTGTAACACTAATAACATATATTACTATTACTACTACTACTTGTTGATGCTCTTTTTCGGAGAGGGTCAACTTAGAGAAAAAGGGGTTTGCCTTCAGTAGGGAAAGGGTCTGGGCCTTCAATAAAGGCTAGCCTGCAGAAGACAAAAATAGGGGAAGCAGTCGTCAAGCTCCGGGCACCGGTGTGGTGCCGGCCGAAGGCTCTCCGATGCTTAAGTCAGCTAAGAAGGGTAACTTTTGCAGAGTAATAGTAAAAGGCAGAAAAGTAGTTACCCCTCTTACTAGGGTACTGTTCCCTTTTTATAAGGAAGTGAAAGTTGGAGGTTGGTGTAGATTTCCGATGTGGGACTCTGTGCAAGTCGCCGCGGTGGTGACACGTGTCACGAGAATTAGGTTTAACAGTTTGTGAGCTTTGGCAGTCGGGAGTTTCGGCAGGTGCTTGGCACCTCGGAAGAGTGTCTTCCTTCGGCAGGAGAGAAGGCGTGTCTGCCTTGGTGCTAGTTGTTTTGAGACTGGATATGCTCGGTTGATTATGGTGTAAACAGTAGTCCCCCAAGTTCGCGGTCAAGAAGTGACTTCTGGGTTGGGAACTTGTAAGCTTTTGCGTGATCATGACCGAGCATTCCAGGTTCAGTGGGAGCCGTAGGGCAGTCCCTAGTCCCCCAAGTTGTCAAGCTAGAAGTTGCGTTAACACTTGGAAGGTAGAATAAAAGCTGTGTTAGCCTCAGTGATTGTTGGTAGCTGGGTACCTTGAAAAGAAAAGTGAGCTTGGGTTGTCGAAGCTGCAGTGATTGTTGACTTAGGTCCTACCGTTTGGTAACCAAGTGATGGTTTTAAGGAGCAAAGGCCTGGGTCCCAAAAGATTGGGCTGAAGCTTGAAGGAGGAAAGAATATGGGCTTCAATTTTCCATTTTCCTAGCCCCCTTGCCATTCCGGACCCTTTTTTTTTTTTTTTTTTGTTTTTTTGTTTTTTTTTGTTTTTTTTGTTTTTTTTTGTTTTTTTTTTTTGTGTGAATGGCCAAGTGGTATGGGCTGTGGAGAAATTTAGGTTGGGCCATTGAGGCATCTGAAATTAGGGGCTGCCATCTAAAAAGTGGCCCAAGGTGAGCTGGGGTATTGGCAAAAAAGGGAAAAAGGGAACAAGGGGCTGAACCCGTGAGTTTAGTTGTGAGGCCAGGTTTAGAGGAGGATTGGTGTGCCTCCCTTTTTTTGTTTTACGGAACCTGCCGTTCGGCAAGTTGAAATGAAAAAGGGCTAGGTACATGCTGGGTTATGTGTGGCTAGGCCTTGTGATATTGTAGCTGGGACCTTGTACCTTCGGTAAGGAGGCCAAGGCTGGGATAGAAGGGCTAGGGTCTGGTCTTTTTTAGAGAGGGGGGTATATAAATAGGTGTTAACAGCTCTTGCCGTTCGGCAAGCAATGGTTGGGATATTTTTTTGGTAGCTTCCTCTTCCTTCGTTAAGGCTGAGCTGGCTAGGAGGTTTTGTGTTTTTGGCAAGGTAGCTGGGCTTTTTAAGTCTAGCGAAATTGAAAGTAGCTGGGGCTTAGAGCATCCAGGTACCTCGTGAGCCTTGGTTCTTCTTGGAGTGTCGGCAAGGCATCCACGAGCTTGGAATCAGACTTTCACAGCCCTTGCCGTTCGGCAAGGGTGGGTTAGGGGCTTTTGTGAGACCATGGTGGGTGTGCACGGCTTCAGCCAGGTTGAGTTTTCAAGGAGGGGTCGAGTCTGCCATTGATTCCGGTGAGGTGGGGCTGAGTTCTCTTTGCCATTGGGGCGGTTTGGCTAGGAGTTGGAGCCGATCCGGAACCGGGTGCCGGAGTTTCGGCAAGGTTTCGGCTGTCTCAACCATTTCGGCAGAGCTGGGCTTTGGGAGCTGGGCTATCCGGTTACTTCGGCAAGTGCCTGGGCAAGTCTTGGCGATTTTGGTTTGGGCTCGGGGACTTGGTGAGCAGCTGTGTTGAGCTGAACCTTCGGCAGGGAGCAGATTTCTCGAAGGGTTGGCTGGGTGCCTTGAGCTTCGGTAAGGGAGCAGCCAGGTAGTTTTAGTAGATGTTCGTTCCTTCGGCAAGCTGAGCCGGAGCTGGGCAGATCGGGTGTCTCCCTTTCCGTCCGAACGGTGCTTGCCGTTCGGCAAGCAGAGATTTGAAGGTGCCTTGAGCACTTTGGTTGAGCTGGGCACTCGGGTCTAGGCCCTTAGTGGTTCGGCATCTTTGCGTTTTGGGTGTCTTGAGCAAATCGGAGCAGGGGCTGGGTGATTAAGCGAGTCGGGACCTCTTTGTGCACGGGTATGTAGCTTGGGTCACGTTCGATAGCTGAGCTCTTGGGCTTGGCCTTTGGTGAGTTTAGGAATTTGCGGTTACTTCGGCAAGTGCCTGGAGTTGAAGCACCAGTTTTGAGGAGCTGGGTGCCTGGAAAAATTGTTGATGCAGCTTGGCATTGGGTCTTTGCTGGGTTCGAGCTTGGTGGTGTCGGCAAGGTGATTTGGCATTGTGATTTTCGTGAACTGTCAGCAAGAGTGGAGCTTGGCTTCGTCAGGGTTGTGTCAACAAGGGGCCGGGCACCGTGGCTGATTTTGAAGAGGGACGTGGAGTTGGTGGAGCTGGAGCTGTGAGGGTGGATCGGAAAATTGAGATTTTTTTTTTTTTTTTTTTTTTTTTTTTTTTTTCGGGAGTCTTGGAGCTGGGCAGATTTGATAAGTGGGTACCTGGGCTTGGGAGGCTGGGTGCCTTGATCAAATTGCTTGAGGTAAGTCTGGGGCTGAAATTTAGAGCTGGGCTTTCGGGAAGAAACAGCTGGGAACTTTGTGAAGCCCTCGATTTTCTTGCTCAACCCTTGATCAAATTTTTTGACTCGTTCCGACTTGAGCTGGTCGTGCTTCAGCAGCTTGGAGCTTGGCCTGGGCAATCCTTGTAGACGTGGAGCTAGGTCTTGTGAAGGTAAGGAATTTTGGTTGCCTCCATTTTATTGCTGCCCATCCCTTACCGTTTGGCAAGGGTGTTCGTAAATTTTCGCTGGCTGACCTGATTAGAGCTGGGTCTTTCGGGGTTTGGAGCTGGCCCAAATTGTAGCTATTTGGTTGGGCAAATTTGGGTGGATGTGGGGGTTGGGCCCGTGACTTTGGGCCTGGACTAGGACCAGTTTGGGCTTGGGTGTGAATTTAAATGTAGGAAAGCTGGGCCTTTATATTTAGAACTGGGTTTTGGGCTTGGCTTTTATCCAAGGCAATTTTGGGCCTAGCCTTGTACTGGGCTTGGGCTTCTTAAGAGCTAGGACAAGGGTCGGGCTCCAGCCATCTTGTTGGGCAAAATTGAATTGTGAGCTAAACCTTGAGCTGGTCCCTTCAACGTCCTCCCTTTTTTTTTTTTTTTTTTGTTTTTTATTTTGAAATTGCAAATGCTGTGTAGGTACTCTTGTAAACCTAGGGCCTAGGGTTTGGGAGGGAAGGTGAAAGGGTGCTAGGGTTTCTCTTGTAACCCTAGGGCCTTATAAATAGGAACGTGGAGTGACGTAGGCATCATACTTGGAGATTTTTTTGAGAAAGATTGTTAGAAAGTGAGAAGGAGAAAAAGATTTCTGGTGAGATTTTGGTGGTGGTGCAAACAAGGTTAGACCTCATTTCCCTTGAATTCTTGAAATGAAATTCAACTTTTTTGTATGAACATGTTGAAGAGTATGATGAACACCTTGAGCATGAGTATGAACATGTTGAATGTATGCATCTAGATCAAAAAGCATGTAGAGGCTGTCCAATTTTGTGTTTTTGTGCTTAGATCCTCTTTGCATGTGCATTAGTTCCTTTTTCTTGTTTCTGCATGTTGTAGATGTCTGAGAGTGAAGAGGCCAGTGAGTATGTTTGTTCTGAAGAGGAGAGTTCCCAGACAGATAGTTTTGTAGAAGGGCTTATAGAAGCTAGGATGGGAGTTCATGAGGGTGAGATGGCTGGGCCATCAGTAGAGTCTGGGTCAGAGGCATATAGGAAGATGCAGAAGAAGTATAAAGTGTTAGAAGCCAGTGTTGATCGGGTTCTAGCCTTGGCACATACACCGGAGGTGGGCTCGAGCAATCAGACATCACCATCAGAATCTGTGGGTATAGCCATGGTTTCAGCTTCAGAGGGGGTGGACATCCGGGTTGGTGTTCCGTTGGGAAATCAGAATACACTCACAGAAGCCAAGTTGGTTGAGCTTCGGACAGATTATAGTGTGCCATCCTATGTGGGCCTGAGGTTACCTAGTGCTGCGGATGTAGTGAGATATCCTCCGGAGGGTTCAGTGATGATATTCACCGATATGTACCAGCATGGTCTCAGACTACCGTTTCATCCTTGGGTACAGATGATGCTGGCCAAGTTGGGGTATGCGCCGGGGCAATACAATCCCAACTTTTGGCTACTTCTTCATGGAGTTTACATTGCTTGGTGGTTGGTTGGGTTGGGGGAGCCAACATTTGAGCAGTTTATGTACTTGTATTCGATCTCCAAGCAACAGGGGACCTTTGGCTGGGTACAAGCCAATTGCCGGAAGGCAAAGGAGAGAGGTTACTTTATTGGGCATAAGCCGAGTACGCAGAAGTCTTGGCGGAACAGGTGGTGCTTGGCCTATGGTGATTGGGAGTGTCCTCCAGGGAAGACCGTCTCCAGACATATTCCAACCCACTTCCAGTCGATAGGTCCTTAGCCCCATCCTTTAAGACTAGTTGTGTTGTAGTGTTTTGACGCTTGGGTCTTTATTTATGTTTTATTGTTTTGCTTGTGCAAGCATAAATGGCTAAGTTGATATCTGAACTGTGGTGCAGGTTCGGTGAAGTGGGGACCGATCTCCAAGGAGCGAGAGGACGAGGTTGAGAGAGTGAGGTCACTGTTGTCGGAGACCCAGCGTGAGCTTAGAAACTTAGTCACCCAGAAGAACCTGTACGAGTCCGGACTCTTGCAAGGGAGTAAGTACCTGGGTCACTGTTGTTGTTTGTCTTATGATTTATTTTGTAGTTGAAACTGACTTGGCCTTTTGATGTGCAGTGGCAGGGATCATAAGGGGGAGCACGAAGGTGGCCATGGATCTGGATGATCCCGAGATGCAGAAACGGCTGAGGGAGTCTCGGGCCAAGAAGGCAGAGAAGGGAGGTGCCCAACAGGCTGCTGGGAGGCGTTCCAGAGATGAGGAGGGCCTAGTCTCTGATGTGCTGGGAAAGAAGAGAGCGCTGGAGGAAGCTCACCGGAGCGTGATGGGGACAGGGCCGAGGCTTCCTCCCTTTGACCCGCAGGCGCCGCCGAAGCTCCCCTTTGGTATGGATGATGTTTACGCCGAGGGGGTAGAGAAGGTGGACTTCTCTGGACTGCGTCGGCAGAAGAAGGAGGTGAACCTGGCCATGCATCGGCAGGAGGTTCCCTTGGTGAACGTCTTCCTGGAAGGCGTGAAGAGTGACCCAGAGGTTCTGGCGAGGACCCCGGCTACCTCCTATGCAGATCGGGCCCAGAAGACGCTTCTGACCCAGGCCTATGTAAGTTGGCTTGCCTTAAGACTTTGTTCATATAATTCGAATTTGCCTTGAACTGATAATGTTGTGTGTTGCAGGCTTATGGTGAGATGTACGTGAATATGGCCAAGGCAGATAAAGAGATCCAGAGGTTGAAGAGGCGCAATGAGATGGCCAAGGATAAGGTAGCGGAGGCGCAGGAGGCCATCCGAGAGAAGAACACCCTGGTGCTGCAGAAAGCGGCGATGGCCAAGGAGATGGAAGAGCTGAAGCGGTCGAGGGCCGAGGAGGTAGCTGCTGCCCGGGTCGAAGCGATCGAGTCGTTTCGGGGTTCGGATGAGCTGAGGAACTACATCATGGATCAGATGGTGGCGATGCAGCTGGGTTGGGAGGAGAGGGTGGCGATGTTCAACCCTTCAGTGGAGATTAACTTTGACACGAGTGGCGAGCCTCCCTCATCTAGTCGTACCACTGATGTCGTTCCAGAGCCAGAGCCAGAGCCAGCCATTACGGATGCTCCATCGACTGAGTCCTGAAGGCGTTGCCTTCTTTATGTATTCTAGCTTTTTAGTTTAAACACTTGATGTTTATTTTGGTTATGTATGAACATTTTGCCTTGCCTGGGGCAAGGTTATTTTGATGTGCTATGATATGAGACTTGTTGTCATTTGATATCAATTGTGCTTAGCAAAATGGGAACCATGTGATTGATGAAAATGAGCCAGGGTCGGGCGTTCATTAAATATGTGCCGGAAGGCAAAAAGTACAAGAGTTGGTTGAGTCAAGGCTCGAGACCAAAGTAGGAGAAAACATAATAGCCTAGAGTCTAGGTATGTTTACTTATAGTAGTACTTGAGGTGATCAGCATTCCAAGGATGAGGCAAGGTCTTGCCCTTGGTGTCACGAAGCTGATAAGTGCCGGGGCGGCAGACTTTGGTAACCTCATAAGGACCTTCCCATGTTGGGCCCAAGGTACCTTCAGTGGGATTCTTGGTGGCCAAGGAAACCTTGCGCATGACCCAGTCCCCAAGTTTGAAAGCACGGGCTTTGACTCGGGAGTCGTAGTACTTAGCGATGCGCTGTTTGTACGCGACATTGCGCATGTTGGATTGGTCACGAAGCTCGTCAATGAAGTCGAGGTTCAGGGCTAGCTGCTCGTCATTGGCCTCGGCCTCATAGGTGGAGGTGCGGTATGTGGGCTGGCCAATCTCCACTGGTGCCACTGCTTCGGTACCAAAGGAGAGAGAGAAAGGTGTTTCTCCTGTTGAGGTCCGGAAGGTGGTGCGATAAGACCAGAGAACTTCTGGGAGTAGCTCCGGCCAGCAACCCTTAGCTTTGTCAAGCTTAGTTTTTAGAGTTTTCTTGATGATCTTGTTCACAGCTTCCACCTGGCCATTAGATTGAGGATGGGCTGGGGAGGCGAAGCAAAGCTTTATCTTGAGGTTGGAACAAAATTGCTTGAACTTTGCGTTGTCAAATTGCCGGCCATTGTCTGTGACGATGGTGTTGGGGATGCCAAAGCGACAGACGATGTTTTGCCAAACAAAAGTTTCAATGCGGGCTGCGGTGATGGTGGCTAAGGCCTCAGCTTCAACCCACTTGGTGAAGTAGTCCACAGCTACAACTGCATACTTGACTTGGCCCTTGCCCTCAGGCATAGGTCCAATGAGGTCAAGTCCCCATTGGGCGAATGGCCAAGGACTGACCATGGCTGTCAATGGCTCAGCTGGAAGTTGTGGGATGTTGGCAAATCGCTGACACTTATCGCACTTCTGGGTGAAGGTCTGGGCATCAGTGTGAAGTGATGGCCAAAAGTATCCCTGCCGAATGATCTTGTGTGCTAGGGAGCGAGCGCCTGAGTGGTTGCCACAGATACCCTCATGAATCTCTCTCAGGACATAGGTACCTTCCTCTGGGGTCAAGCACCGAAGGTAGGGGAGGCTGAAGCCGCGCTTGTATAGGGCACCATTGATGATCAAGTATCGGGCGGAACGATAGCGAACACGCCGCGCTTCAGCAGGATCAGCAGGTAGTGTCTGGTTCTGCAAGAACTGAGTGATGGGGTCCATCCATGTAGGGCTTTGATCAATGACACAAATGAGTGGTGCCCGTGTACTGGGCTGGTCCAAGAACTCGATGTGGATGTTTCGACCTATGCCCTGCTCCATCGCCGAGGCTAGCCTTGCCAATGCATCAGCATGACTGTTCTCAGAGCGTGGCACCTGGCCTATGAGATAAGCATTGAAAGTTGTAAGCAGGTGGCGGGTATGTTGGAGGTAGGCTGTCATGGAGATGTCCTTGGCCGTGAAGTCCTGGTTGACTTGGTGGACAACAAGCTGCGAGTCGCTGAATATTTGGATTTGCTTGGCGCCCATTTCCTTGGCTAGGCGAAGGCCGGCTAAGAGTGCTTCATATTCGGCCTCATTGTTGGAGGCGTGGAATTTGAAGCGGAGGGCGTACTCAAGGGCAACCTTGTCTGGGGATATGAGAACGAGGCCAGCTCCACATCCCTGGGCATTGGAAGAGCCATCCACATACAAGGTCCACAAGGGCTGAGTTAAGTCTAGGGAGCCGTTGCTGGCGACATGGACCTGGTTCGAGGTAGGAGTAGGCGTGATTGCAATCTGAGGACTGGCCAAAGTATGGGGTTCGGTGAATTCAGATATGAAATCAGCCACGGCTTGGCCCTTTGCGGCTTGGCGGGGTTTGTAGTGGATATCAAACTCACCAAGTTCAATGGCCCACTTGACTAACCTCCCAGAAGTCTCTGGCTTCTGCAACACTTGCCTGAGTGGTTGGTTGGTTAGGACATGGATGGTGTGAGCTTGAAAGTATGGCCGGAGGCGTCTAGCCGAAACCACCAGGGCGAAAGCAAGTTTCTCAATGTCTGGGTATCGAATCTCCGCATCTTGCAATCCTTTGCTCACATAGTGCACCGGATGCTCAGCACCTTCATGTGGTCGAATGAGCACTGAGCTAACCGCCGTAGCCGAGACAGAAAGGTAGATGGTGAGGACGTCCCCAGACTCAGGGGTTGACAATAAAGGGGCTCGGCTCATGTATGCCTTGAGCTCGCCGAATGCCTGGTCACATTCTGCAGTCCAGGTGATGTTGCGCTTGCTACCCTTAAGTGCCTTGAAGAATGGGGCGCAACGATCAGTGGCCTTAGAGATAAATCTGGTCAGGGCTGCGACACGCCCAGTAAGGCTCTGAATGTCCTTGACCGTCCTGGGTATCGTCATGTCCAAAATAGCCTGGATCTTCTCTGGGTTGGCCTCAATACCTCTTTGGCTGATCATGAAGCCAAGGAATTTGCCGGAGGCCACCCCAAATGCACACTTGGTGGGGTTGAGCCGCATCCTATACTGCTTCAAAATGGTGAACGTGGCAGAGAGGTTGGGGATGTGCTGGTCGGCAGTGCGACTCTTGACCAGCATGTCATCAACATAAACCTCCATGGTGTTGCCAATGAGTGGAGCGAAGATGCTATTCACCAGACGCTGATATGTAGCCCCGGCGTTCTTGAGGCCGAATGGCATGACTTTGTAGCAGTAAAGGCCACGGTCGATGATGAAGGATGTATGAGCTTGGTCCTCAGGATGCATGAAGATCTGGTTGTACCCTGAGTAAGCATCCATAAAGCTGAGGAGGGCTTGGCCAGCTGTGGCGTCAACTAGCTGGTCAATGCGGGGTAGGGGGAAACTATCCTTTGGGCAGGCCCGGTTGAGATTTGTGTAGTCTACGCACATGCGCCAACCCTTCTTTAGTTTACGTACCATTACCACATTGGCTAGCCAGGTGGGATAATCCACCTCCTTGATGAAACCAATGGTGCTCAGCTTATCCACCTCCGCCTTCATGGCCTCATACCGCTCTGGGTCATAAGCACGACGCTTCTGCCGAACGGGTCGGACGACAGGATTAATGCTTAGCCTATGGGAGATGACGTCAGGTGATATGCCCGGCATGTCGTTGTAAGACCAAGCAAAGACTTCAGAGTTAAGGCGGAGGAAGGCAATAAGATTAGAGCGAAGCTCTTGGGAGAGGGAGGTGCCGATCCTGACCTGTCGGTCCGGGATATCCTCATGGAGAGTGACCAGTTCAAGGTCCTCCACAGGTTCGGCCTGTTGGGTGGCGGATTCCTCCCTGGGGTCCTCTGGGCGCTCAGTGCCAGCTCGAGGTGGGGCTAGGGCCTGGGTTACTGCTAGGGCCTCACCCCTATGTTGGCGATTAGTAGACTTTACTGCTGAAGCATAGCAGCTTCGGGCGCCCAGTTGATCACCGCGCGCAGTGCCCGTGCCATAGGGGGTAGGAAATTTCAACAGTAACATATGTGTGGAAATGAAGACCTTCATCTGGGCCATGGCAGGGCGTCCCAGGATAACGTTGTAGGCTGTGGGGCAGTCAATGATGAGGAAGGGAGTGGTGACCGTCGTTCGCTGGGGAGCTGCTCCAATAGAGATAGGGAGATGAATGCTCCCAATAGGCTGGACCACATCACCCGAAAAGCTCACCAGGGTGTGACGCTTCGGTCGAGCAAATGAGATGGGACCTGGAGCTCATTGAAGGCATCAGCAAACATCACACTAACTGAGCTGCCAGTGTCTACCAATATGCGCCCAACGTCAAAGTTAGATATGTCGGCGCGGATAATGATTGGGTCATCATGAGGGAGGATAACGCCGCGCTCCTCCTCCTCGCAGAAGGTAATGGGGGCCCAGCCTGTTTTTTGTGTCTTCGGCAAGCGTCCCTGCTCAGTACTGAAGACCTGGTGCGCATAGGTAGAGCGGACATAATGTTTGATGGAGTTGTTGGAGGTGCCAGCCATGGTTGGGCCACCACTGATGGTTGAGATCATGTTGATCTGCCGTTGGTGAGGGTTAGGTGGGAGGTTGTGCACGTATTTATCCAGCTTCCCCTCGCGAATAAGTCCCTCAATGATGTTGCGCAAGGCAACACAAGATTCGGTATCATGGCCACCGAACTGATGAAAGCGACAGAAGACTCCTGTGTTAGGCATAGGCTTGCTGCCTGGTTTCCGGGGTGGAGGCTGAGGTATGATAGGTGCCTCGTGCACTAGGACATTCTCATAGGTAGTGTTGAGGGTGGTGAAGACCTCGAACCTGGGTTTGGGTGAGAATGGGAGTGGGGCCCGGTCACTTGGCCTGGGGGGGTTGCTTCCACTAGACTGGTGGTGGTTCCCATGTCTGCCCCGCTTGTTATTGTTGAAGGTATGCTGGTAGCTATCCTTCCTCTTGGGGTGTTGGGCACCCTGGGTGCTTGGTGCAGGGGCAGAATGTTGGGGTGGAGCTGGGATGGGTACCGAAGCAGGTGGAGGATCAGCAAAAGGATTATGTGCCGGGATGGCTGGGCTGCGCTTGGAGTTGAAGTACTCAGCCTTGGCATGAACTGCTGCTTGCTTCATCAGCTCGGCATATGTGTTCCAAGGGTTGCTGTGGACCAGGTACCGGAAGTTAGACTCTCGGAGGCCACTCTTGAAAGCACCGAAGGCGGCACGATCATCAGTATCTGGGCAGCGGGAGTATTCGTGGCTGAACCTGGCTGCATACTCCCGAAGGGGCTCATCCTCACCCTGTCTAAGCATGTATAGGTCGTCCGCGGAGTAGAGGCGATCGGTCTGGATCATGAAATGGTCCAGGAAAGCCTGTTTCAGACTGTCAAATGTATTGATAGTGCGGGGGTTCAGCCTGTAAAACCAGTTCAGGGCCGCGCCACTGAGAGTGGAAGGGAAGAGGAGACACATGCCTTCGTCAGTGAGGCCCTTGCACCCCAAGGCAGACTGGAAAGAATGTATGTGGGTGAGAGGATCCTCTGTGCCAGTGTAGAAGGCAATGCGGAGTGGCTGGATGTCCTTCTCCTGGTGGTAATTAAGGATGCGTTCGGTAAAGGGCCCAGGTCGTGGCTTTGCCCAGAGAGGTTGGTGGTTGCGCTGATGTTCGCTCTCCAGGCGCCGGACTTTCTCGAAGAGAAGCCTCATTGCCGGGTCGGTATGAGGGAGAGTCTCGGGTGCTGGGGGTCTGGTGTGTGGGTGGCCATGGGCTGGGTAGAATTCTTCGAACGCCTCGGTGTGATAAGACTCGTAGTCTTCTGAGTAACCCTGGCCCCAGTTCTCTGAGTCCCCTATACCTTCTCCAAGGGGTAGTTGGGTAGGCTTTGGCGGGGGGCCCAGGTGTTTCATCTTTGGGTCTTGGAGATTAACAGAGATAAGATGGGGTTCCGTTTGACGGTCCAGGATACGGTCCCTGCAATCCCGGTAGACCTTTGTTGGTTCATGAGGCCGGTTCCTTGGTGGGGAGATGCGGAGAAGCCGCGACTTGGTCGTGTCCGGATAGAGGGGGCCTTTACCCTTGCTGGGCCTAGGCTGGGTTGGGACATTGTGGTGGGAGTGCTCGGCTGGTTTGGCTGTGTACGCTCAGGTACCTGGGTAGGGCTGTGTTGGGAGCCTTGGGTCTGATTCATCTCCCAGTTACGCTTCAGTGTGCGGTAGTCATGCTCGAGCTCGACGTTCTTAGCATGAAGATTGTCATATTTCTCAGACATCTTGGTGACACTGGCGCGGAGGCTCTCCAGTTCTGCCTGGAGATTGGCATCTGCTGAAGGTCTTCTCTGGGAGGTACCCCCATGGGGGATATGGTGCTGAGTCCCCTGGCTATCCTCAGTAGGCATAGCTGAGTGTGGAGTGAAGAAGAGGCGACGGGGCCGGATAGGAGAAGGAGCCAGCTGGGCTGGTAGAGAAAAAATGGGATTCAAGTATCGCTTCCCACAGACGGCGCCAAACTGTTGATGCTCTTTTTCGGAGAGGGTCAACTTAGAGAAAAAGGGGTTTGCCTTCAGCAGGGAAAGGGTCTGGGCCTTCAATAAAGGCTAGCCTGCAGAAGACAAAAATAGGGGAAGCAGTCGTCAAGCTCCGGGCACCGGTGTGGTGCCGGCCGAAGGCTCTCCGATGCTTAAGTCAGCTAAGAAGGGTAACTTTTGCAGAGTAATAGTAAAAGGCAGAAAAGTAGTTACCCCTCTTACTAGGGTACTGTTCCCTTTTTATAGGGAAGTGAAAGTTGGAGGTTGGTGTAGATTTCCGATGTGGGACTCTGTGCAAGTCGCCGCGGTGGTGACACGTGTCACGAGAATTAGGTTTAACAGTTTGTGAGCTTTGGCAGTCGGGAGTTTCGGCAGGTGCTTGGCACCTCGGAAGAGTGTCTTCCTTCGGCAGGAGAGAAGGCGTGTCTGCCTTGGTGCTAGTTGTTTTGAGACTGGATATGCTCGGTTGATAATGATAATAATAATAATAATTATTATTATTATTATTATCATTATCATTATCATTATCATTATCATTATCATTATCATCATCATTATCATTATCATCATCATCATCATTATCATTATCATCATCATCATCATTATCATTATCATTATCATTATCATTATCATTATCATTATCATTATCATCATCATTATCATTATCATCATCATCATCATCATCATTATCATTATCATTATCATTATCATCATCATTATCATTATCATGATCATCATCATCATCATTATCATTATCATTATCATCATCATTATCATTATCATTATCATTATCATTATCATCATCATCATTATCATTATCATTATCATTATCATTATCATTATCATCATCATCATCATCATTATCATGATCATGATCATGATCATTATCATTATCATTATCATTATCATTATCATTATCATTATCATTATCATTATCATTATCATTATCATTATCATCATCATCACCATTATCATTATCATGATCATGATCATCATTATCATTATCATTATCATTATCATTATCATCATCATCATCATCATCATCATCATTATCATTATCATTATCATTATCATCATCATTATCATTATCATCATCATCATTATCATGATCATTATCATCATCATTATCATGATCATTATCATGATCATTATCATTATCATTATCATTATCATTATCATGATCATCATCATGATCATTATCATTATCATTATCATTATCATGATCATTATCATCATCATGATCATCATCATGATCATGATCATTATCATTATCATTATCATTATATCATATTATCATATTATCATATTCTCATTATCTCATTATCATATTATCATATTATCATATTCTCATTATCATTATCATTATTAATGATATCATTATCATTATCATTATCATTATTATTACTATTACTACGTACACATTTACCATAATGTACATATATACACGTATATATATAAACACATATATACATATATAATATATATAAAGACATATAGATATATACACATATATTATTATTATTATTATAATATACCCATATACACATACATATTAATATTATTATAATAGCATACATGTATATATGTAATATATTATATTATATATTAATGTACATTGGTATGCTCTAGATTTAGCTGTTCTTGCTGTTGGGGTGATGGAAAGGTCTATGACTGGTGAAAGAAAAAGTTTTCATCAAGTTGCATTTGACCATTTGAAAGATCTACAGAACCATTTGGAGGCTGGCAATGACATTCCTCGCAAGGTAGTCTATTCTGAATATGGTTTTCTTTTAGCCTAACATTTCAATCATACCTCTTTTTTGTGGTTGTTAAAATTGTTATTTTCTCATGTTTATGCTAGATAAGTTCAACTTGCAATTACACATCTAACATGGTTCCGAACTCATGCCCGAAAGAAGCACAGCTTTATACTGTCATCATAACTAAGAACTTCGATCTTATGTGAGACAAGGCAACCAAGAAAGTTACAAGTTAAAAGCTGATCCAATGAGAAAAACTGTTGATAGAATGCAAAGACTTAGAAATTGTTATGTCATAAATTCCTTGAAAGCGTAAAAAGCCTCTTGATAGCAACTTCAAAGTCAAGAAAACAACAAAGCAATGTCATGCAGCACATATTAACAACACTACATGAAGAAATATAACTTCAACTTTGTGTATGTTGCACATAAGCTTAAATGATCAAGCAGAAGAAACGAGTATCAGTTCCTAGGGGCTTGGGGGGTCCTGTTTTTGTAAAAAATAAATAAATAGTATAGCCGCGCGGCTATACCTTAAAATATAATATATTTAAATAGTAGAGCTAGCCCAGCGGCTGTACTGGGGTCCCTTTTTTTAATTTTTTTTAAAAATAAATAGTATAGCCGATCAGCTACACTCTTTAAATATATATTGGGATCCTCACTTTTTTATTTATAATTATTTTTTCCCTTATTTTCGTTTATCGATAAGGTTAGTTTAGAACATTATCCAATTCTATTAGGCCATTAACCGAGTCTCTATTGTCCCCTTTTCATTTTTTACTTTTCCAGAGTTATTAGTCGTATAAAGAATTTAGCATTTTCTTGTTTAATACTCGTATTATACACATACGTGCATATTTTTCAATAATACTTCCTTTTTTCGTACACATCTTAAAGACTTGGTAAAATACACGTTTTTGTTTAATAAGCAAACATACAATACACGTATCTACGTATTCTTGAAATTCAATACGCATGTATTATACAAAATTTTCAATAACACACAAAATTCACGTATTGTACACATAATTTTCACATATTCTTGAATATATTTAAATAAATTATATTAAAATATTGTATAGTGGCTAAACTTTTCAGTTCTAACTTGGTAAAATTTTGTCGAATAAAACACATACGCCTAATAGTAATGGATAATCCTCTAAACTACTATGATCATGTTGAGCAGTGGTACTTTTCATACTGTTAGTTCTTACTGCGGATTTTTCTTTAAAGTTTTTTTAGTAAATAGTATAGCCACATGGAGTAATTTTTTATAATAAAAAATACGGAAAAAGGAAAATTACAAGTAGAAACCACGTAGGCACGCAAGCCCAAATAGGTCGAAAAAGAAAGGAACATAAAATTTCAAAGGCACCCTCGTCTCCCATAGCTTGGAAGGATTCAGCCCATAGCCCAAGTTAGCAACGACATGTGCCGTAAAGTTCGCTTCGAGGTAGACATGATTGAAAGAAAGAGTGCGGCTATGGCGGCTAAGAAACAAATTAAAAAATCGACTGCCTAGTGCTATGAGGCGGGTCCTTTTTTTATTTAATTTAATTTAATAAATATTACAGCCGCACGACAATACGGCTAAATGTAATATATTTAAAGAGTATTGCCGCTCAGCTATATTGGGGTCCCTTTTTTTTAATAGATTTTTTTCCCTTATTTTCGTTTAGAGCATTATCCATTACTATTAGGCCATTACCCAAGTCTCTATAGTCCCCTTTTGATTTTTTACACTTCTAGAGTTATTACCCGTATAAAGAATTTAGCATTTTCCCGTTTAATACTTGTAATTGAGAAGAGAAAATGATCAATCTCTTTGATTCAATCACTGCAAAACAGCCTTACCCAAGTCTTTTGATGGTCACTACTCACTAAATCTTTTTCTTCCTATTACACACATCTATGATCACATTGTTCTATGATATGCCAACAATCTTACTTAAAAATCACAAAACACAAATAAAAACTTGTAAGAAAAACAAATAAAGGATACCTAGAGAACTCAAACAGTCAAACCCCTTGGAGTGGAATTTTCTTTCCCTGATGCAGCACACATAAAGAAAATATATTTCCTTGTAATAAAATTACAGAAATCATGGGATTTAGAAAAGAAAAAAATTCAACTAAAAACTTAAAAGCCATAACAAATAGATACTAACCTAAGAGATTATATCATCATATATCATAATACAACACACAAAAATCCATAACCATGAAATGAAGGAGATAGAAATGCAAATATCCACCTCATAGAAAAACAAAAGATGCACTTAACAATAATAATAACAACATTGATTTGAGTATTAAAACTGCACCTCTTAGAACGCCTGTGCTGGGCATGAACAGCTGAGCGTGCCCAAGAATCTCCATTCTCTCCCTTCCCACCTGCTTGTTCTTCAGATTCTTCTTTTTCTTCAGCTATGTTACACATAAAACCAACCATTCTCCTATATATATACTTTTTCTAAGAAAACCCACAAAGTATTCACGGGAATCCTTCCTTCTTCAACTATCAAATACTATATATATACACACACACTTTTCCTGTGCACAAACTATGAATAACAAGTCCGATAGACAAAAAGGAAACTTGGCAGACAGAGATTATGTGAAAAATATGTGAAATGGGATAATAAGGAAAGATACAGTAATTATAATAGAGTATTTCTGAATGGGTGTTGCTTGAATTTATGAGCTTGAACTTTGAATGATTCTGAAGAATTGAAGAGGTTTTCATAATTTGAAAAGCAAATAATGTACAAGTACAACAAAGGTAGCTTGCAGGGCCACTGCTGGGACATTAATAAATTTTTTACAGCACTTGATTTCTTATGTGGAAAGATCTGTAACTCATATTTACAGCACGTGACTACTTATGTGAAAAGAGTATCTGTAACTCATATATACAACACTTGACTCTTTACGTGAGGGGAAATGCTAGCAACTTTCTCTCTAACATTCTCCTTTGGACCTTCTCATATTGAATTTAATTGCAATTTTACTTACAATGGTATAGATCAATAGCTTCATATCAATAGTTTTATTTACTTACATGTTTTTTTTTTACATACTGAAATAAAATAAAAGGGATAAATTTAATAACTATAAAAAATTGTACCATTGAAATATTCTCAAAGAAATCTTTAAAAAGAGACCAATTTTGAATATATATGAAAAAAATTAATTGTTGTAATTTTTCTATTGCATTGAACTATTGAATAACTATTGCAGATGCTCTTAACAACATAATGCATTAATTGCTGTATTTTCTATTTTTTATTGGCATGTGGGTCCCAAAATTAGTTTATAGAGGATTTATCACATAGCACCCTTTGTTGCAATTTCATCTATTGCAATGAACTAAATTACACAATTGCGAGTGAGATTTTACTATTTTAGTTCAATTTCATGCAATTTGCATTGATCCTAACCATTGCAAGTGCTCTTTAGTAGGAGTCTAAACTGGTATGGTTATTTTTTTATATGTTAAGTTTCATTATTAGTTTTATTTTTCTTTGAAATAATTAGATAGGAAATGGAATTTGGTCCATAGTTTCCCCTTTCGCTTAGGGTTTAGAAGATTTACTTCCTAGTTGTGTAGTTAACAATTCCTTCTACAATTAGGACTTTTTCGTACTTTCCTTTTTTTTTTACATATGTAAACGCTATATAAACCTCATTATAGAGAAGAATGCAATACAGAAAATTCTCCAAATATACCACCAAACCAATTGAAATTGTGTTTTAGCCCAGCCATCTAAAAGAATATTTTATTTTGATAATGGGAAGCGCTTGGATGCTTTTGTTTTCTTTGTTTAGCATTCAAATCCTTGCAGCGAGTGTGGTTGCAAGGAATATAGTGAGTGTGCGGCATGACGAGGAGGGAAATAACTTAGCTTTTGGGAAGGGAGGGGGATTTGGCGGTGAAGGTGGTGGTTTTGGAGGCTTCATTGGTAGTGGTGTTGGGAGTGGTCTTGGTGGTGGCATTGGTAAAAGTGGCGGGGTACACGGTGGTGGAGCTGGTGGTGGCTTTGGAAAAGGACGACGCATTCTCAAGGGGGGTGGGGGTGGTGGTCGTGGTGTAGGAAGAGCTGGTGGTGGCGATCGTGGTGGAGAAAGAGCTGGTGGTGGCAAGCATGGTGGATTCCATGGTGGTGTACATGGTGGAGCTGGTGGTGGCAAGCACGGTGGAGCTTGGGGTAGAGCTCACAGCGATGCTGATGGTGGATTTGGAAAAGGTGCACTACAAAAGACAGTGTTATTAATGGCATTTTACTGCACTTTTACCATATTCCTATAAAAGATAAGCAGCAGTTCGGCACTGGTTGACCAAAACAATTGCTATAAGAAGAAACAAAAGCACTGTGCGTGGGCGTTACAAATTGGAGCGGGAGTCTGAATCGCTCAATTGATTATTATTATTAGTTGTCCAATCTAGGTCCCTATAATTTCTATTTCGTAGACATATACCCATCATTCTATAAATCTATGTGTAAAACCCAACTTCAAACTTAAATGACCAGTAGAATATAAGATGTCGTAGTATTCCTATGTTTTTACATCCTTGCCATCAGACTTCATATTTTATTTATAATTTATTCCAAGCATTTCATTAACTGCCATAATTGTAATTAAAACTCCCTATTAATAGCATATCAATCACCCCATTTCTTTTGGTTGTCATTCCCTATAACATATGGCCCCTTAAAATTGAAAATAAAAAATATATGTAAATTACATATCCAATAATGTACATATGAAAAATATAAATATAAATATATATGTATAAAAATATAGGTATATTATTTACCAAAACAATTTAACAAAAATAGGTCAATTACTTTGTAATTGAAATTTCCATACATTTTTCATAAATTAAAAATAGGTACATAATAATTTATAGAAAATAGGTACATTGTATAATTGAAATTTATATACATTTTTATAAATTAAAAATAGGTACATTACTTAGAAGAAAAAAAATAATTTCATTATACTAGGTAAATTGTTTTACTGGGTATACATTATTAGAGAAAAAAAAAAGGTACATTATTTAGAGAAAAAAAAATAGGTTCATTATACCAGGTAAATTGTTTAGGGGAAAAAATAGGTACATTATTTTGAGAGAAAAAATTAAAAATAGGTACATTACTTTGAGAGAAAAAATAGGTACATTATTTTGAGAGAAAAAAATTAAAAGTAGGTACATTACTTAGAAGAAAAAAATAAGTTCATTATACTAGGTAAATTGTTTTACTAGGTATACATTATTAGAGAAAAAAAGGGTACATTATTTAGAGAAAAAAAAATAGGTTCATTATACTAGGTAAATTGTTTAGGGGAAAAAATAGGTACATTATTTTGAGAGAAAAAATAGGCTCATTTAAAAAAAAAATTGTTTTCATAAAACAAACAATAAAAAGATGATCAAATTATTTTTTATAAAACAAGTAATAAAGAAAAAAAAAGTACAATATTTGGAGAAAAAATAGGTTCATTAAAAAAAATGTTTTAAAAACAAAACAATAAATAGATTATCAAATTATTTTTCAACATAATTAGAATGTACACTATTATTCATAAAATTAAAATAAAAAAGAATACTAGTCGTATAATTCATAAAAAGAAACAACATTAATTCCTAAATTTAATATTGAATTTAAATTATTAATACTTTAAATAGATTACTAGTCGTAATTCATAGAAGGAAAACACCATTAATTCAAAAATAGATTACTAGTCGTAAAATAGATTACTAATACTGTAATGTGAAATTTAATATTTAATTTCAAATAAGTTTCTAAATTAGTTCCTACATCCATTACAACTATTTGGAGATATTTCCAAATTCAACGGGTGTCATTAGTTACACCCCCCATAATACATTAACTTATAAATAGGGGTAGTTTTGGAATCCAAAAAATACAATAAATCAGATTTTAAGTTATATTAGGTAACTTACTTAGTTGGATCCTAGTCATTGGGTATTATTTGAAAAAATTGGGTATTTTACATAGAAAACTAAAGGAAAGGGTTGTAGGTGATTTAAAATGAATTTTATGGGTCTAAGCTCAATTTACTATTTTTTTTATCAACCTCAATTGATTCTTTATGCAACAATACTCATCGCTAAGATCTTTTTTATTTTTTATTTTTTATTTTTTAAGGTGCTATTGTAACCATGTTCGAACATACGAGCAAGGCCGGTCTTGAGATTTTGAAGGCCCTGTGCGAACCTTAAATTGGGGCATCACATAAGCTAACACAAACTTACACCATTACGTAATGCCATACAATGAATGTTTTTTTTTTCCTTAAAGTGACCAAAGTACCCCTATTCCCAAGGACAAAATTGAAATTTCACAAAAGAATTAAATTGGATTAAATCGATTAAATATTCATATATTAAATATTTTTTAACACCTAATTTATTTTGTATCAATATTCCAGGACCATCATTAATTTGATGCAATTATTTTGGTTGACTTAGTTGGATGCATTATTTTTGCGAAAATGAATATATGAGCATAATTACTGACTAATTCCTTGTGATCGGGTATTTATTATTTCAGTTTGTGGTTGTGAAAGTAGATGAGATATTGAATGTTGGTGTTGACATCGGACAAGCCTTTAACACAAGCAAGTTTTGAAGTCGAGCCCTGAATAGAAGTTGAGGCCCTACAAACCAACACAACTAGAAACGTCTTTGTGTCAACAATTTGCTTGAGTCTTTGTCATCATAGATCATATTCAGATATTAAATATTTTTTAACACCTAATTTATTTTGTATCAATATTCTAGGACCATCATTAATTTGATGCAATTATTTTCGTTGACTTAGTTGGATGCATTATTTTTGCGAAAATGAATATCTTAGCATAATTACTGACTAATTCCTTGTGATCGGGTATTTATTATTTCAGTTTGTAGTTGTGAAAGTAAATGGGATATTGAATGTTGGTGTTGACATCGGACAAGCCTTTAACACAAGCAAGTTTTGAAGTCGAGCCCTGAATAGAAGTTGAGGCCCTACAAACCAACACAACTAGAAACGTCTTTGTGTCAACAATTTGCTCACTCTGTATATATATAACATTTGTTATACATATGGAGTGCTGCTATTTGTTCTATTTTCTCACCCACTATGTAAATTTGAAAAAATAAAATCCTACTTTTCCACCCACCATTATTCCTAAAATACCATTTAATTATTAATTCAACCAAACACCATCAAAAAAAAAAAAAAAAAAAAAAAAAATTCTTCATCTTCTTCATGTGTTTTCAACATCACAACCTTACCCTACCATATTAATATTCTCATCAACCCCTTAGCAGTACTGGTGGCTTCACGACCGCGACACCACCACCACAACAACACACGACCAACAAGACTACAATGGATTTTAATTGAAGTGATGTTATATGAAATAAGGACCCGCATGTGGGTTAATCAGACTAAAAAATCTTTAAAATAGAATAAAATTAAAGGACAATTTGGCCTCTATTATCAACACCCACCAACCCAGCCACAATATTAAAGGTGGAGTTGAGAATTTGATTTTTTTTTTTTTTTTTTTTTTTTTTTTTTTCTTTAAGGAATTGAAAGGATTGGGTAGATCAGTGCTTGCTGAATTTTTTGAGGTCAGGAAGATGGAAAGAATATGGAGAGTTAAAAGAAAAAATTTAGGGAGATTTTGGAAAAACCCAAAGGAGAGAGAAATTTTGTAAAAGAAGCCAAAATGGACAAATTTGCCCTTATTTATTTTTGGATTTCCTAAGAAATCATTTACACTTGCATGTCTTTGATTTGAAAGTTGAGAGGTTTTTCTGTCTTTTTTGAAAAAGCTTTGGCTTTTTCCAAAAGTGAAATTTTTTTTTTATGGCTAAAACCTAAATTTACTAAAAATTTATTTTATTTTTAAAATTTATTTTTAGGGTTTTAGAAGTCGTTTTACAAAGGGATAAATTTGTCTTTAAATTTTTAAAAATAAGGTGGGTTGAAAAATAGGACAGGTGAGTGAAAATAGCAGCACTTGCACACCCTCAGGGCCACCCCTGCATACGAGAACACTCTTCTCGTTTCAATTTTAATACCAAAGTCACCAAAAGAAAGACAAATTTGAGAACTGATCAAAAGGATTCATTCTTGAAATTTCGTCCAAGTTTCCTTTATGCTGAGAGAAAATTTGCCTTCCAATGTTTTATCTTACTAGTACTTGGCTTATGCTCTAGTCATATCTAGCTGCCTATGCTAGAATGTGTGTATTATTGTTATTGTTATATTATGCCTTCATTCAAGTGTATTTTGTCTCAAATGTATTTTTATAAGAGATGAGTGTAGAATATTTATTTATTTTATTCAGAAAAAACAATAATAATTATTGATAAAACAGAAAAAAGGACAAACCATAATGCCGAATATGGATACAATATCTTCTCCTAGTTGAAAAAGGACTTAGGGGGTATAAGAGAGAGCTGTTTTGGATTTCAACTACCTACTGGTTTATAGAATAACTATTTTGCAAGTGTCAATAAAACGCGGTAATTGAATTTGAGCTCAACTCCAATATTATGAGTGGTGCCTATTCTCACCTGTAATTTTTATTTTCCAACCCGCTATAATTTTTTATATATTATAAATATCTTTGTTTACGCATACCATATTGAAGTCACGTTCTAATCTGGTTGGGTGTTTGGCAGACATAATGAGGCCAATAACCATTCCAATGAAACTCCATTGAGGCCAATTCAAGTAGGAAGATATACGTACGAAAAACAAAAGAAACTCATCATGTCTGGCTCATTCTAGGGTTTAGAGCTTTCAAGTAATGTGCCCATGGTGGCAGCCATCTTATTAATAAGATTAGTGCATTAGGGTTAGACGAGCTGGGAAAAATGGGGTATTGTTAGAATAATAGTGGGTGGGCAGAGTAGTTTGATATTTGTTTCCCTTTTTCCAATACATAATTTTCCATAATTTTCCCAGTAATAATTCAAAAGTTTTACCTACTTAATTTATGATCTTCGTCCTACTCCTTTCCTTATAATGTTGTATTGTTAACACCATAGCACAAGACCTATCTACTTATATAATGGCTCGTTTGGGAGTGATTTTGGATAGGTCAAAAAAAATATTTTTATGGAGAATCACTTCTCCAAATAATCACTTTAAGTGGTTTTAAGTGATTTTATAGAGAAATGCATGGAATGTGCTTCTGCCCAGAATAACTTAAAATAACTTAAAGTGATTATATAGAGAAGCACAGAGTCACTCTCAAACGAGCCCTATATACCATATAATGATCATTATGTGTACGCATGGAAGATGTTTTATGAACTTTTCCAACATATATGCTTCCCTTTGAGATTATAGGCATTTTAGAAAAGCTTATTTACTGTAGTGCCCTCTAAAACAATAATCAAATCTCATTTTACCCCTTGAATGTTAAAGTGGCCAGAGTGTCCTCTTGACCAAGGTTTGGTGTTTCACTTTATCCCACATCGTGAATTCTATTAAAAATTCTGTTAAAAATAATGAGGTGGAATGAATGGGACCTACTCTCTTGTTGAAATCTATGTCATGTAAGTGCCACGTGTGTGAAAAAAAAAAAAAAAAAAACGTAAACTCTCTTCTCTCTGCCTATTTCTCTCTGTACCGGAACTCTTCCCCCACCCCACCCAAACAACCACCCACCCACGACAAGGCCCAACCCTTGCCCCCTCTCTAGTGAGAAAAAAATAATTCATATGATACAAAATATTCTTTTGGTATTTGGAGACGTTATGGTTCCCAAATCAAATAAAACACGGCAATATACTGATATATTCACTATTTTTGTGGTGAGAATTGAGAAATAAAAAAGTAAAGGCTGAGAAATTTTGGGAGGGGATGATGGGTACTCTGATTTGGGGGTAACAAAAGGGAGGGTGTGCGGGAGGGAGTTGTTAGGATAGGGGGTGTGTGTGTTGAGAATTTTTAGGATGACAGAGCAAAGGGGAAGGGGTGGTGAGGAGAAGGGTGAGTGGGGTTGATGGGTTGGGAAGAAAAAGAAGAAGAAGAAGAAGAAGAAGTAGAATTTTTAGGATGACGGAGCAAAGGGGAAGGGGTGGTGAGGAGAAGGGTGAGTGGGGTTGATTGGTTGGGAAGAAAAAGAAGAAGAAGAAGAGGAAGTAGAATTTTTAGGATGACGGAGCAAAGGGGAAGGGGTGGTGAGGAGAAGGGTGGTTGGGAAGAAAAAGAAGAAGAAGAAGTAGAATTTTTAGGATGACGGAGCAAAGGGGAAGGGGTGGTGAGGAGAAGGGTGAGTGGGGTTGATGGGTTGGGAAGAAGAAGAGAGAGAGATGTTTAAAAAAAAAAAAAAAAAAAAAAAAAAAAATTTATTTTTAATTACAAAAAATTTATAAAAAAATATAATTATGTTTATTATTATTTTTTACATGAGACAGCTTTTGTGGTACACATTTCAACAACAGGGAGGGTCCCATTCGTGCCAAGTCAGCATTTAATTAGCAGAATATTTAACAAAGGTAACGGTGGGGGCAAAGTGAACTACCAAACTTTTGTCAGGGGGGCACTTTGTGTCACTTTAAGTTTTAATACATATTTATAAATAAACTCAATCCTAGACATGTATTTATAAAAAAACCCAAACATTATTTAGACAAAGAAACACACCCAAAATCAACAATTGTATATTTTTTGGGTGTGTTTATAAATGGGTTTTGAGTGTGTGTAATGATGGGTTTTGAGTGTGTTTATAAAGTGTTTTGGGTGTTGGGTTTTTTTATAATTTCAGCCATCATTTTGGGAAACTCCCAAGTTTTAAAGGATAAAGTGAGATTTGACTACAGTTTCAGAGACATTACAGTAAATAAGTCTTTTAGAAATAAAATATGCTTTATAAATAACATTTTCTCTAATTTTTTTCTCCACATTCCTCACATAAAATGAGAGTGTCATTGTGCGAGTGATGGCAATTAGGGGAACTCATAAAAACTCATTTTAATGGGAAATGCTAGCAACCTTCTCTCTAACCTTCTCTTTTGGACCTTCTCCCTTCTCCTTATGACAAGTGTCACTTTTCTTACACTTAAAATAATATCATTAATGCATCATACAAGTTAGTTTTTGTTTTCCAAGTTTACCCTTATTGAATGTATTAACTCTTTTTAATAACAAGGTAGTTTTTTTTACAACTTTCTTACTACCTTGTTAAAAAATTAAATAAGAAAATAAAAACTGAAGTTTGTTTTTGTTTTTGTTTTTCCTTCCAAAGAGGACGTATGTTTTGTTAAACACAAAATAATAATGATATCACTTTTATGATAACAATGTCATGAAACAAACTTTATTTAAATTTTTTAAAAGTGATGTTTTTTGTTATCTTTTTTCTTATTTAATTTTTAACAATATGCTAAGGAAATTGTAATAAAATTTGGATAAGTTGAAGGAAATATAAAAGCTAATACATTTAATAAGGGTAAACTTGGAAAACAAAAACTCACTTGTGTGATGCATTAATGATATTGTTTTAGGTGTAAGGAAAGTGACACTTGCCATAAGGAGAAGGGAGAATGTCCAAAAGAGAAGGTTAGAGAGAAAGTTGTTAGCATTCCTCTTATGTGAGAGTGTGGACACTGGCTAAATGAAGTCCCATGTAATTGAAGTCCCACAAATATAATTAACTATTTTTCCATAAAAAATAATAATAATAAGGGTAGAGTGTGTGTGAATAATAATTCTCAAGAATTAACACAGCTTTGGGTTATCTACTGTAGACGTCCCTGAATTTGGCCCCCAATTGCAATTTGGTCCCCGAACTTTTTTTTTTAGGCAATTAGGTCATCCAACTCTCTCATCCGTTCCAATTGAGTCATTCCGTCAATTTGGCTGTTAATTTGAGGGCTAAAACCGTCCATTTCAATTAAAATATTTTAAATTTTAAAAATTAAAGAAAAAAGTGAAGAAAAAAATAATTAAATAAAATAAAAAATAAAAATCCAAATCCCTCTCTCTTTCGCTTTGTCTCTCCTTCTTTCTCGCAACCCATTCTGCCCTCCTTATCCCACCCCCCTCAAAACCCAGATCCCAACTCAACTTGCAACCCACCCCCCATCTCCCAACCTACAACCCATCTCCCCGCCCCGGAACGTCGAATGAAATAGGTCTTGCTTGGTGCTTGCACTAAGCAAGGCGGTCGAAGAAGGCCGCAAGTGGAAGCAACCGATGCTTTGGTCATTCAGTTGACTTCTTGCTGCCAGTCCGAGCTTGTTGCCATACTGGAAAAATCAGGGGTTGCTGGTGGGTTAGGGTCGCTTCTCTAGTTGAAGTATCGAGCCCCTTTTTCGTTGCCTAGGTTACAACTTTGGAATACCCCAAAAGGGAATTTTGCTCTGTTTGGAACTTTATAGAAGGAGCTGGCTCTAAGATCTGATCTTATTAATCCCTTGTTGTGCATCTATAAATAGAGCCAAGTAAATCCTATGTTGTTTCTACCAATCACAAACTGTTTGATATGGATTCGTATTGTAAACTTGTGAAGATGGAGGTGGGGTTGTTAGGGTTGATGATGGATGAAGAAGGTGAAGTTGGGGTCAATGATGGATGAAGAACCCGAAAGGACACTTTTGCCCTCTTACTTTGACAGATAAATTGACAGAGTTGGACGGTAGGATCCAATTGCAACTATTTATCGAGTTAACGGATGTAATTGCCTAAAAAAAAAAGTTCACGAACCTAATTGTAACTGGGGGCCAAGTTCATGTACGTCTACAATAGATAACCCTTTAACAAATAGTGATATGGACCAAACTTGGTTTTAAATGATTTCTTAACTAGAAAAGCTCAAGCACAATAATTAATTAACCATGAAACAACAATAAACTAACATAAGCACCATCATAATTGTTCATTATAAAATGCCAAATCATGCCTCAACTCGAAAGTCGATAAGTTGCTTCTTCAATTATTACACTGGATTCCTGAAGTAGTTGAGAATTAAAACTAGTGTTGCAGCAGTGCAAATTAAAACTAGTATAACTCAAATTTCCATATATTTGTTTGAGTAATATTCTAGCTGACCTCAAGTCCTCTACCCAAGTCCTCTACCTCAAGTCCTATACTTTTCTTCATGTTAATGTTTGTATTGTATATCAACATCACCTACAACATTTCAAATGTTACAATCGAAGGAAAACGACATGATCATCATACCTCGATAAAATCAATTTCTATTGTAATGTAGTGGTTGGTGCCCATGGCTGATAATCAAATGTTCCATCGGAATTAACATTCTAATCTCCTTAAAAGAGTTATAATACTTAATGTCGGTTCATTAATTTAGTTGTCTTGTCCTCATAATGCCTCTTTATTATACAAACTCTTTCCAAAATTTAAAAATGATCTGGCAATTGGTCGGCATGCAATCAGACGTTGCCAGCAGCTCATAGGGTCCCATGCACACAGGGTTGGCGCCGGCAGTATTGGCCCTTCTTGCATAGCCTAGTATATTTCTAAAGCACTACATATAAAGTTGATGCTCAGAGAATGTGAAGAGCATCTACTAAACTCAAACTAGCTTTTGGTTTCTTTCTTTTGATTTTAAAGTGAGCAAAAATGGTGAAGTTGGCTTTTGGTAGCTTTGGTGACTCGTTTAGTGTTGGCTCCCTCAAGTCCTATCTAGCCGAGTTCATTGCCACCCTTCTTTTTGTGTTGGAGCTGCCATTGCTTACGGTAATTAAGCTTTAAGTATAAGTAATTATGCAGGATGAAGAGTATCGAAATGGACCTCTCACTTGCACTTCCTTACAAGTGTGCACGAGTAATGCTTTCTTTTATAGATTTACTATATGAAATTACTACGTAAACCAGTTGAATAAAAAATATATCATGGGTTACAGGTACAAAGAGCAGCTTGCAAAGCAAAAGCTTATATTGCAAGACTACGAATCTGAATCATGACAGTCACACACAAAGAATAAAATGGCATAGACTTATGGATATGCTGAAACTAATATGATTATTACTTAATAGTGTAATTAATTAAAAAATTGTTTCACACATGATATGGTGGAATTTTTATGCAAACAATTCAATGACTATTCGTATGCAGGTAAGCTGACATCAGTAGCCTTGGACCCTACGGGCCTAGTAGCGGTGGCCATAGCTCATGTGTTTGCACTATTTGTGGGGGTCTCTATTGCTGCAAACATCTCAGGTGGCCATTTGAACACAATGTTATGTTTTCCTATTTAGATCGGTGCACGCATGTACGGCTACAAATAGGACCCCTTTAGGGGGTCCTATTTGTAGCCGTTCATGCGTGCACCGATCTGGTGGGATTGAAAGGTTTGTCAAGTCGGCCCTCGATGATGAGTAGAGATGACTTTACATAGCCCTATATAAGTTTAAGGCCCTGCTCTCATCAGACACGTTCTCTAACCCTATTCTAATCATAAAGAGAGAGCTGAAATAGATTCTGAGAGATAGCAGAAGTCTTGAGCCGTTCTTGTTCTTGCTAGGATTGCTGCTGCTACGGATTGGATGAGTTCAGAGGTCGTGTACTCTAGTAAGATGGCTCCATGTATGTGTTTATGTCTTTACATATTTCAGATTGTGTGAAAGATCTAGAACATGTATTATATGGAAATCTAACACCCAGCTGTCATACTTGGATTGGCCATTAGAGGCAACATCACCATCCTCACTGGCATATTCTACTGGATTGCCCAACTCTTGGGCTCCATCGTTGCTAGCTTTCTCCTCAAGTTTGTCACTCAATTGGTATATTTCTTAGATAATCACATCACAATTTACCCCAAGACAATGACCATAAAACTCAATCAAATTGGGCCAAATGAAGTTTATCTTATTGTATAAAGTAACATATTCATATTGACAATCTGATAATATAACATGTTAAATTCCAGTTTCGATATGTCTTTAATTCAGTTTTCTGATTTGGATTTTATGGCTTTGGATTTGGCAGGATGTGCCAACCCATGCACTTGCCTCAGGGGTAGATGCAATTGAGGGAGTGGTATTTGAGATCATATTAATCTCAGCCACACCTCACGCTATTGAAAGATTTATCGAAACACAATTTTGAAAGACGACAGAGAAATTGAATTCCATTTCTTACATCTTTTTCCAAAGAGGCTCTGTGGTTTGATGGCATATTCTTGTTAATATAAACGGGATTGTCATGCCAAGGACTTTGTCCCCTAGACGCACTTGTTGAAGGTGGTGACACCTGTTAAATTCATCAAGAAAACAGTAAGCATCTTTGTTTAAATTCAATTAAAAATAAGATTCAATCTGCAGTCAGTTATGAATTTATACATTGTCAAGTTTGAACATACCAATATGGGAGAAGACCTATCAATATAGCATGAGACAATTATTATTTTAACTTCAACTGGTTAAGTGATCTCACCTGCGTTTCATTTTGGTCCTTCTTCGCAGAAACTCGACTTCTTGGAACAGGTGCTTACTGTTTACACCATAATCAACCGAGCATATCCAGTCTCAAAACAATTAGCACCAAGGCAGACACGCCTTCTCTCCTGCCGAAGGAAGACACTCTTCCGAGGTGCCAAGCACCTGCCGAAACTCCCGACTGCCAAAGCTCACAAACTGCTAAACCTAATTCTCATGACAAGTGTCACCACCGCGGCGACTTGCACAAAGTCCCACATCGAAAATCTACACCAACCTCCCACTTTCACTTCCCTATAAAAAGGGAACAGTACCCTAGTAAGAGGGGTAACTACTTTTCTGCCTTTTACTATTACTCTGCAAAAGTTACCATTTTTAGCTGACTTAAGCATCGGAGAGCCTTCAGCCAGCACCACACCGGTGCCCGGAGCTTAACGACTGCTTCCCCTATTTTTGTCTTCTGCAGGCTAGCCTTTATTGAAGGCCCAGACCCTTTCCCTGCTGAAGGCAAATCCCTTTTTTCTCTAAGTTGACCCTCTCCGAAAAAGAGCATCAACAAAACTGAAACATGACGATTCCAACATGTATGAGAAGAGAAAATGATCAATCTCTTTGATTCAATCACTGCAAAACAGCCTTACCCAAGTCTTTTGATGGTCACTACTCACTAAATCTTTTTCTTCCTATTACACACATCTATGATCACATTGTTCTATGATATGCCAACAATCTTACTTAAAAATCACAAAACACAAATAAAAACTTGTAAGAAAAACAAATAAAGGATGCCTAAAGAACTCAAACCGTCAAACCCCTTGGAGTGGAATTTTCTTTCCCTGATGCAGCACACATAAAGAAAATATATTTCCTTGTAATAAAATTACAGACATCATGGGATTAGTTTGAGTTATTTTCACTCAAGCACTGTTATTTTAGTCCTATTTTTAATAGGATTAGATTTTATCTCTTGAGATTTACTCTCCTAGTTGGACTCTATTTTAATTTAAGTTAAAATATTATCATTTCCTATTATGACTTGCATGTTGAAATCAGCTCATACTTGATTGTTCTAATTAATTTGTTTAGGTAGCTATTGTTTTAAAAAATTGGTTGTAGTGGAAGTCATTAGGTTTCCTCACATCTTGCTTTAGTTGGCATCATCACATAGCATCTAAAGTGAATCAAAACTCATATTCATGATAGGATAGCATTTGTGGGCTGTTGTGCTTTTGTCTTACTAGAGAGAACAAGTTTTGTATAAAAGACCATGTGCCTCTCTTTTATTAACACAACTTTCGACATATTTGATTTTGAGCATATAGAATTTTGAAGAGAAAACTAATGTCCATATTTTTGAGATAAGTCATCAAGTGTTCCATGTTTGCTTGGTGATGTATCAAATCCTTTCATCATTCATATTTCATTCATATACATGTCGGTGACTCATATGGTTGAGGGCTCCAAAACCATGGTGGCAGTTTTCCTCCGACGAGTTTGAAGCTATCGCGATCAGTATTGTGTTCAACATAAGGAGTGTCGAATATCATCCCATGACAGAAGTTGAGTTACAAAGAAGTCGGTAAATATTATCTAGAATGTGTCTAGGGTAAGTGTGTGAGTACTTCTTGTAATCATCGTTATATAGTGGATTTGTTCTAGATTGAGGAGTCCCATGAAATTTCTCTAGAGATGGGGTTTTACCATGTAAAATAATTCTCTGCATGTTCCTTTATTTTTATGCTCAGCACGTTTCAGGATTGATAAGTCATATCAATCCTGCTACCGAAGTTTAATTTTTGTTTATTGATTATAATCTTTCATTGGCCTATTCACCCCTTCTAGGAAGTCTTAGTCATCCTACAGGTAATGTCAGTATCAACCTTTGGGAGAAAATATTTACATTCAACAAGTGTGTACCACTTCACTCTAACAACATGCCCTTGATTCAGCTAGCACGTGATTTTTCGAGGATGTGGATTTGAACTTGAATGTAAGGGGGCGGATTTATTGCACTGACCAATTGACATAACTTATATCTGTAACTCATATCTACAACACGTGACTACTTATGTAAAAAGAGTATCTATAACTCTTATCTACAAAACGTGACTACTTATGTAAGAGTGTGGACACTAGCTAAATGAAGTCCCATGTAATTGAAGTCCCACAAATATACTTAACTATTTTACCATAAAAAGATAATAATAAGGGTAGAGTGTGTGTGAATAATAATTCTCAAGAATAAACACAGCTTTTAACAAATAGTGATATGAACCAAACTTGGTTTTAAATGATTTCTTAACTGGAAAAGCTCAAGCGCAATAATTAATTATCCATGAAACAACAATAAACTAACACAAGCACCATCATAATTGTTCATTATAAAATGCCAAATCATGCCTCAACTCGAAAGTTGAGAAGCTGCTTCTTCAATTATCACACTGGATTCCTAAAGTAGTTGAGAATTAAAACTAGTACTGCTGCAGTGCAAATTAAAACTAGTATAACTCAAATTTCCATATATTTGTTTGAGTAATATTCTAGCTGACCTCAAGTCCTCAACCCAACAAGTACCATGATATACTCAGGTCTTTTTTCTTTCTTTTTTCCTTTGGATGCGTTTGGCATGAGAAGAGAGGTTTTGGGATGGGAAATCAATTGTTTTTCATGTTTGGGAAGTCCAGGCATGAGAAATGGTTGCTTCTGGCACATGGAACAAATTTAACCCTCCTTCCCCCTTGGGTTTCATTTTCCTTTCCCATAGAAAATTGGGCCAACATTAAATGCAAATTTTTCATGACTATTTTGTCCTCATAACAATAGCATAAGGCCTTTTGGGAGCTCACTGGATTCGGAGTCATGGGAACTCCGAAGTTAAGCGAGTTGAGGCTAGAGCAATCCCAGGATGGATGACCCACTGGTAAGTTGCTTGTGAGTTCTTAGAAACAAAACCGTGAGGGCAAAGGATGGGGCCTAAAGCGGAGCCGATCCCGGGATGTGACATTAAATGCGTTCTTCTTTTATTTGATTTCATATGGGTATAATTGAAAAATTAAATCAACTTTATTTTATATTCATACTCAAACCAAACATGGGAAATGAAATAAAGTTGTATTTCCTAATATTACCATGAGAAATTATTTCCCATCAAATCTTTTCCACAAAACAAACGAAGCCTTAATGTAACAAGTATAGATTGATAATTAATATTAAGAGAAAATAGTAACGGATTTGCTCGAGAGAGAATCCTTATATAAATTTGTTTGTCACCTCATTATTTTAGCTCGTGAATTAATATTAAACTTGACTTACTTTAAACAATAAACATGAAGTGACAACAAATCATGTTAATCTTTGTATTGTATATCAACATCACCTACAATATTTTAAAGGTTACAATCGAATGAAAACGACATGATCATACCTCTATAAAATCAATTTCTATTGTAATGTAGTGGTTGGTGCCCAAGGCTGATAATCAAATACTCCATCGGAATTAACATGCTTATCTCCTTAAAAGAGTTATAATACTTAATGTCGGTTCGTTAATTAATACAAGTAATTAATTTAGTTGTCTTATCCTCATAATGCCTCTCTATTATACAAACTCTTTCCAAATTTAAAAAATGATGTGGCGGTTGGTCGGCATGCAATCAGACGGTGCCAGCGGCTCATAGGGTCCCATGCACATAGGGTTGGCGCCGGCAGTATTGGCCCTTCTCGCATTAGCCTGGTATATTTCTAAGCACTATATATAAAGTTGATGCTCAGAGAATGTGAAGAGCATCCACTAAACTCAAACTAGCTTTTGGTTTCTAGCTTTTGATTTTCAAGTGAGCAAAAATGGTGAAGTTGGCTTTTGGTGGCTTTGGTGACTCGTTTAGTGTTGGCTCCCTCAAGTCCTATCTAGCTGAGTTCATTGCCACCCTTCTCTTTGTGTTTGCTGGTGTTGGATCTGCCATTGCTTACGGTAATTAAGCTTTAAGTATAAATAATTATGCAAGATGAAGAGTGTCGAAATGGACCTCTCACTTGCACTTCCTTACAAGTTTGCGCGAAAAACGCTTTCTTTATAGATTTACTATATGAAATTACTTACATAAATCAGTTGAACAAAAAAATGTCATGAGTTACAGGTACAAAGAGCAGCTTGCCAAGCAAATGCTTATATTGCAAGACTATGAATCTGAATCATGACAGTCACGCATAAAAGAATAAAATGGCATAGACCTATGGATATGCTAAAACTAATACGATTATTACTTAATAGTGTAATTAATTAAAAAATTGTTTCATACATGATATGATGGAATTTTTATGCAAATAATTCAATGACTATTTGTATGCAGGTAAGCTGACATCAGCAGCCTTGGACCCTGCGGGCCTGGTAGCGGTGGCCATAGCCCATGCATTTGCACTGTTTGTGGGGGTCTCTATTGCTGCCAACATCTCAGGTGGCCATTTGAACCCAGCTGTCACACTTGGATTGGCCATTGGAGGCAACATCACCATCCTCACTGGCATATTCTACTGGATTGCCCAACTCTTGGGCTCCATCGTTGCCAGCTTTCTCCTCAAGTTTGTCACTCAAATGGTATATTTCTTAGATAATCACATCACTATTTACCCAAAGACAATGACCCTAAAACTTAATCAAACTGGGCCCAATTAAGTTTATCGTGTATCAGGCATGTTATGACGGCAGAGTTACATATTCATATTGACAGTCTGATAACATAACATGTTAAATTGCAGTTTCAATCTATCTTAAATTCAGTTTTCTGATTTGGGATTTATGGCTTTGGATTTGGCAGGATGTGCCAACCCATACACTTGCCTCAGGGGTAGGTGCAATTGAAGGAGTGGTATTTGAGATCATCATAACCTTTGCTCTTGTCTACACTGTCTATGCCACAGCCGCTGACCCCAAGAAGGGTTCACTGGGAATCATAGCACCCATTGCAATTGGGTTCATTGTTGGGGCCAACATTCTTGCTGCCGGCCCATTCAGCGGTGGCTCGATGAACCCAGCCAGGTCGTTTGGCCCGGCCGTTGCCAGCGGAGACTTCACCAACAACTGGATCTACTGGGTCGGCCCACTAATTGGTGGTGGGCTGGCTGGGCTCGTCTATGGTGACATTTTCATTGGGTCCTACAGCCAAGTCCCAGCATCTGAAGATTATGCTTAATTTGATATGCTCATGCTTTGGGGTTTCTCTTGTTGTTTGCTTTCTTGTTTTTGTTTTTGTTGGCTTTATTCTTGCTTTTGGGTTGAGTACCTACGATTGCACTCATCAATTCCATGAAGAAAAAAAAAGTACTTTGAGCCGTGAATAAGAATTGTACATATACTAAATCAAATGAGTTTTGTGAATTGTGGTGCATCATTTTACGGTTTTATCGCCTTTCACATAGTTTTTTAGGGAAAAATTTAAAACTCCTAATCTAGAAATCTCTAATATGGTCACTATAATTTAAATGTCCCAATCACTTTTCGAGTAAGTCCAAATATTTAAAGATTTTTTTTTTTTTTTTTTTTTTTTTTTTTTTTTTTGGTTGATTTAAATAGAAGAAAACGAGAGTTCAATGCTTTACGTATAAAAATAATAGAAAGCTCCACCGTTTGTTTCTAAATTTTTTACACAAACGATACTAAGAATGTGAAAAATCTAATTTAAGACCTAGTACATGAACAAATGTTCTTAACGAATTTAACTAAATCCAATTTCTCCACCATTTAAAGTTATAAACCCTACCAATATTTAATTTCAACTTATGCTTAACCCAGAACCCAAAAAACAAAAATGAATTTCTCACCACAACTATTTGCATGTCTCTATCTTTGGTGGGTGTGGGTCCAAAATTTGCACAGATATATTAAAGTCGAGGCCACTATGCTATCTCTGCTTTATTTGATGCAAAGTGCTGTACGTTTCATGTAATGAGAGGATAAATAGCACTACAACTTAAAACGATAGGTTTTTTAAGTCTTCTCTGCTTCCTTTTCCACTCTTTTTCTATGATGTGGACATTGATCTCTTCTGTAGTATGTAAAGTTAAACCTAATTTGGTGAAAAGTCAGGGAGGTTGTAGTGGAAGGTGACAGGACAGCCCATATTCCTTTTGCTTTCTCATCAGTGTTTCTGTTTCCATATGAATTTTATGCATTTTGGTATTACTTTTTATATAAAAAAATGTCATTGGTTAATCAAATCAATTCGTTCTCGGAATGAGATGCCTCCAACAAGAATGTTATTTGTCTTTATTTTTTGAGAACTGCCTCGAACAAGATTGTTAAACATAGTAAATTATGTTGCACGTGCGGGATCAATATGAACCGTTGATGCATGTGAGTTTCATATTATAGTAATAATTTGTTATTGTTTTAGATATAACCAACTGAATAATTGATGCTAGCATTCCTCTAACACACATCTATTCATGCTTATATGAGCAAGTGTGAGGTATATTGATTAAAATCTGCCCAACTAATTTATTGATACAATTTCTATATTCTATAATCAATTTTCGATATCATTGTGAAAACTCAATGTATTGGTCCGATTATGCGTATAGAAATTTTTTAAAATTTAAAATTAAAATTTTGGGTCACTTTATGAGTTTCATTTCAACTTTTCTCTCACTAGAAAGACTTTTAAAACTAGTCAACTTCACCCATATGGTGTTAATGCCAAAGGTAAAGGCCCAATCAGTTTGAGTAAAATGTCATACTAAATTTGGGGCGAAATTTTTAGAATTGGTTGAAATGATGGCTACTTGATATTATTTTCCTTTTCTAGAGTGCCTTCATTCTAGTTTGGCACAATTCGGACAATACTCTTGCATAACCAACGGTGTGGAAAGATAGACCTAATTAAGTAAAGCTTTTCTTGAGAAACAATATCTTATTGAAGAAAATTAATCGTTGTTTCAATTCTCAAATAGAATGGCTTGAATAAGAATAAGAGAACTCTTCGACAAAAAAATAACAAGAGAACTTTCATTCCAACAAATATAACTTTCAGTAGACGAAGCAAAGCGAGCCAAACAATAAGCAACCCCATTGCAATGGCGAGGCACATCTCTTTTAGAAAACCCCAATCAACTATGTCATCACTATCATACATAAAAGAAAGGAGAAGAATATAAGAGGGAACATATACAGGATACCTTTATGATAATTGATACGTGCCATCCCACAAAACTTCAAAATTTGATGAGTTTGGAATCTTTGGTAGGTAAGAACTAAGAAGTGATCACATATCCATTCAGAAGCTGAGGCTAATACAATGAAACTAATAAAAAGGCATTGCTTTTGCTACCAAAAACATAGCTGTCGAGTGGGACATTCACTAATAAATGTGTAACATAGTTGTCAATTGTGGCACATGTTTTTGTTGGATATCCAAATCCAACCCATACTTCAATTTATTAGGTGTCTTGGATGGCAAAGATAGAGCTAATAAGTGATCAATGTCCTCAGCTGAGACATTTGGTCTGTGCACGGCAGCCTACCTTGACCATGATGACCAAATCATCGCGTTATTCTCTCCTCACAAACAAGAAGTAATGCAAGTGATCACCTTACCTTGGCATCCTGCATAACAAAATCCGTAATGTCGCCATTAGGAAGTACTAAGCTCAATACTACGAACTTTCATGGTGCTTTGAAGAATGATATGTTGATTCTTTCATTAATTTGACGCTTAATTACTGTGGTTCCCCTTTAAAGTATGGACATATCTCATGTTATTCTCGAAAGTTACAATAATCTACTTCATCTTTACGATTGGACGATTATTTCAAAAGTCATGAAATGTTATACCTTGCGTGAAGGGCTTCAATAGATTTTTCAGTTTGGATACCTAAAGTTCAAGTTAAATGAGACTCTAAACTTTATTAAAGCAACAAACTTAACCCTCCGTGTCAGGCACATTCATTGTTGGCAGATTTAATACGCCAATATCAAGAGATTTCATTTAAACATAATTGCCAAAATGTCTAGCACAAGACTATTTTGACATCTGCTCTATTGTTAAACTTGGGCGAAGGTTCACCAACTATTATTTCCGCCATTGTTAAACTTGTTCTATTTGCCAAAATGATGATAAAGTTCTTCTAAAATGTTAGAAGAGATACCATGTTCAAATCCTTCATTTTTCGTCCTCAAACGCGTTTTATTTACTCCTATCCAGAGTCTAATACGGTGTACCAAACGAGTCTTTATTCCTTTCCTTTTTTTAGAGTCATAAAAACAAAAAAAGAAAAAAAAGAAAAGAATTTGATCTTAGCCAGTCAAACAAACACTCCACGCGTGGCCCGCAAAAGGGAGCGTAGGGAAAATTCTATACCAAGGGTCGTAGGGACCAGGACCTAGGAAGAAGGAAGAAGGAAGGGAATATGAGAGATAAAAAAGAAAAGCCCTGCCTCCCAAACCGTCCCCACCGTCCAGTCAACCTTCATGCATTGCTATTGGCCACGGCTGATCGACCACAGAAAAGAAAAAAAAACACAACTTTCGTCCTTTCCTCTAACCTTAACACATTAACATTCATAGTCTAATCCATCCCTTATGGGCTCTTAATCATATTTATGGGTTCTTAATCATATTTATAGGCTCTGGTGTTTTTCTGTACGTGCGTTAAGAAACCATTCCCCCCCTTATCCAGGATTGTGTTTTGTCCCCTGTTTGTGTTTCCAAGTTTTCGAGTTTCGTGAATCCTAATTTCATAATTTTCATTTCTTTGTTTTTGGTTCGTAATCTTCTTTTTTTTAATGCAAGCCCGACCTGAATTCATGGGAGCTCAAAGCACTAGGTTCCTGTATGTGTTCGTGTAACATATTCTGTCTCTCACTTTTTCTGTGTGTGGCTGGCTGGCTCTCATTAATGTGTATATATATAAGGAGTTTTGTTGGCCAAGAAGAAATGGGTTGATTTGTTCTTTGCATAGAGCTTTCAAGATTGGAAAATTTGGAAGGTTAGCAATCTATCTCTTTCTAATTCTCACTTGGGTTTTTCATTTTTTATGAAGCCTCCATTTCCAAAATCCAAGCCCATTTTACAAAATTCCCAATTGGGTTTTTGTTGTTGATTGTTTCCCAACAGTCTTTTTCAACTACATATGAGAGAGAGCGGTGCTTTATAATAATATATTTTTTTTTAGTATAAGCGATTGAGGGGAGGGGGGTTACACAAATATTCATTGGGTGTGTGGAAGTTTCCACACTCTGCCGGTGCTTAATAATATTTAAGTACGTGTTTTTGGCATTTGGAAGTATTTTGCTTTGTAAAGCAGAACTTGAAAAGTAGTTTTGCTTCAAGAAGGAAAAGGGTGTATGCTTCCAAATTCAATCCAAAACTAACCCTCATTTTTTTGGTAATCTGAAGTAGATTTTAGTGTTGCTTTTGTTACACCAGTCTCCATAGCAGTTCACTTACTTTCTTTTGTTTTGGCTGAACAACCAAAACCAATTTGGTAGAAACTTTTTTGTTCTGTTTTTAATGGTATCTTAAGTATTTCTACTGTAGTATATGCTAACTTTTACCTTCAATTGATTTCCACAGGAGCGGGCCAAAGCCATCAATTGTGGAAATTTTGATAGGACCTAAAGGCATATATAACTGACCACCACCAATGATCACAAAGAAGAAAGAAGAAAAGCTTTTCTGATTAATTAGTTAGAACATTTGAAAAAACTGTCTGTAGAAAGACACAACTTGAAATTAAGAAATGGAAAGTGGTTATTTTTCAGCTTGGAAGAGTTCTGGTTCTTTGCATGGGCTACAACATGTAGAGGAAGCTGAGGAGATGAAAATAGTGCCAACCTTGCCTGCAATCCCTCAGCCACAAACACCACAGGAGCCTATGGAGTTTTTGTCAAGGTCATGGAGTCTTTCTGCTTCAGAAATCTCAAAGGCTCTTGCTCAAAAGCAGAAGCAATTTTCTCTTGAAAAAAGTCCTGAAAAATTCCCAGAAGCAACTGTTGTGCCACAACTGGTAAGCTAGTCTCCCTTAACTCCAATGAATATATGCATGTGCAGTATTTTCCTAATTTGGTCCTACAATATATTGAATTTTGTTCCCCTTTCTTCAAGGCTTGCTATTGAATTGCCTAAGTATTCATGAAATGAAACTAAGGAGTGGGATAGCTTTTAGATAATGAACTTTGTGCTTATGCTGCTTTGAAAATAAGTATTTCTTGATACCTTTGTCCTCCACCATGACATTCCATCGATGGTTGTAAGTCTGGATTTCAGGTTCAGTTCTGTTTTCTAATTGTTCTGATTCTTTCTTGCAGACAGGAAAGATTATAAAGTCTGTTAATAATCGGAGAACAAAGTCAATGGGCAAATGGTTCCACCATAAGGAGTTCACTAGTAGCACAGTGAAAAAGAAAGATAAGGAACGGGTAGAAAGAGCACGAGTGCATTCTGCTGTCTCCATTGCAGGAGTTGCTGCAGCCTTGGCAGCTGTAACTGCAGCAGAAAACTCCAGTGGTTCTGGCTCAAAAACGACCATGGCTTTGGCTTTGGCTACAGAGTTGCTGGCATCACATTGCATTGAAATGGCTGAATTAGCCGGAGCTAATCATGACCATGTGGCATCTGCTGTTAGATCAGCAGTGGACATTCAAAGTCCTGGTGACCTTATGACTCTTACAGCAGCTGCTGCTACAGGTACTTGCTCATATTTAAAAGTAAACAAAAGAAAGCAAAAATTTCAGCTTTCAAATGAAAAGATTCAGAGAATTTGTGAAGAATCATCACAATATGCACAGACATTTACCAAGTAATGAATTTCTTGTCTTGCTTGTTCACTTTTTGCCAATGAGTGACAGTGCATACATATATCAAAAATACATTGACATGCTCGTCTTCCTGTTGTTTTAAGCCATTGATCATTAAGTAATACAAAGTATTTCTTTAGCTTTGCGAGGAGAATCGGCTTTGAAATCAAGGTTACCGAAAGAAGCAAGAAGGAATGCTGCTATTAGTCCCTATGATCGGGGAATGGCTGAAATTCCTTCAGCTGGTGCTTTTTATAGTCAAGTAGAGGAGCAGGATCCTCCCTGTGTTGGAGAACTACTGCAACTTACAGGAAAAGGTAACTTAACAAGTACAGGATTCATTCATCGATATTAACTATGTAAGAGACCCCGTATGATATAAACAGATTGCATTGCCTGCCACTTGGCTTCTAGTAAGGTCACAAACTTTGTAATTTCATAAGTTCCGTTGACATTGGAAAGTTTTGTACAGAAATCCAAAACATTAAGTACCAGAAGCTTTAATTCTTGTAGTTCGTAGAAGTTTACATTAATCAATTCCTCTGTGCTTGTAAACTTGATGTTGCTTCTCTTGAGTCATGAATTCAGTTAAACCTGGAAGTGTCAAATGGACTTAACTAATTCGTATGGCTTTGATGAAATTGTTGTATACAGGTGTTTTACAATGGAAACGTGTCTCTGTCTATATCAACAATAAATCTCAGGTAAATAAATTTAGTCGAAGGAATGATCAGGAGAAAGCGTTGGATAGAAAAATTGAGTTTCTGACTTTTATCTTTGTCTTTTCAGGTTATTGTTAAACTCAAGCGTAAACATGTTGGAGGAGCATTCTCCAAGAAAAATAAAAGTAAGCTGGTTGACTTTTTAACAAATTGTGTGTTCTATTTACACTACTATTCTGTCTTCATTCTTCTCTGATTTTGGAAACTAATCAGCACTGTTCGTAGAAATTTTGTTGAACGATATATTTTTTAGCAAGCATTTCTCATCTATAAATGTACATGTGTTAGGTGTTGTTTATGGAGTCTGTGATGAGACTTCTGCTTGGCCATATAAGAAAGAAAGGGAAATTTCAGAAGAGGTCTATTTCGGGCTCAAAACTGGACAGGGTCTACTAGAGTTCAAGTGCAAGAACAAGGTTCATAAGCAGAAATGGGTTGATGGGATCAAAAATCTTCTTCGTCGAGTCAACTACATTGAAGAAACTGAGCACTCTCTGGGATTTTTAAATATCAGTAATAGTATATAGTCACTTCAGCACTTGTGTATATGTAGTCCAAGCATAGGACAGATAAGACCTTTGATAATGCAAACGCAATATACTTCTGTTACAAGTAAGAAGATTTATACAAGGGATCAAAGACATTAGGGAACGATGCAATTTTCTGTTCTTATACGCTACAAGATATGCGAATTTCGTGGTCACATATGAATGCTTGTGCATAGTGCCATGAGAAGTTTTGTGTGTGTTCTATGAAAGTCAGATTCCAAACTCAGATTTTGTATTAGCCAGAAACTTTATTTCATGTCTATGATAAAGTAACATCAATTTCATGTTTATTTCCTGGAGCGGTTTTTAAAACTGAAAGTTCGAAGGGGCGATTGAAGCCAAGAAAGCCGAAGGTTGGCTTAAGCACATTAAGAGAAAGTTAGACTCTATGCATGCGCCACTAGAGTATTGTGTACGGTTCGCAACCCAAATGCTGGAGAACGAGACAAGCAGTTGGTAGGACACAATACTCCACCAAGAGGGCGAGTACGCTGAACACATCAGCTGGGACGAGTTTGAAAGATACTTTCTCAACCAGTATTTTCCTACCGCTTTTAAACAAACTAATCTAGGAATTGTTCACCCTTGAACAAGGCAAGATGACGGTGGCAGAGTACGTAGCAAAGTTCACTGACCTAGTACGCTTTGACCTAGGTTTCGACAAGGCCTTGGGGACGATATTTGCCGACTTGTGACAGCTCAAGGAGATCAAACATACCAAGAGATGGTGACTAATGCACAAGTGCTGGAGTAGGACTATCTCTTAAGCCAGAGAAGAAACCTACAGCCCGGGAGATTTGAGGATCGAAGAAGAAACAATTCCAAGAAAATGAGCTTTGGGGAAAAGAAAGATGAAGGTTCTAGTAGCAAGGGACCAACTCCAAAGAAGAACCGTACCACTACCTGCAATGCGTGTGGCGAAGAAGGCCACATTAGACCTAACTGTCCACATCGGAATCAAGCTGGTGGAACAAATGCACCATGACAACAGTCGCTGAGAAACGATGCCGGAAACCAGGCTGATCGACCTGCTCAATAAGCACCACCAAGAGGAAACCAGACAGGACCAGGTAGGAGACCTGAAAATCCACAACCAGGAAGGAATGGAGGACGAGTGTTCCTCGTGGCAGGAAGGCAGGGACAAAGAAGAAGGAATTGCTCTTGACAGTACTATTATTTTATCCAACACTCAAGTTAAGCTTTTGGTTGATACTGGTGCATCCTATTCCTTTATTTCTGTGTGGTCAGCCAAAATTTTAGGACTAACCAGTAAGATGTTGGATGGAATATTAGTATTGACTGTTCCTTTGGGTGGAAATGCTAATGTGGATTCCATTTACTGAGATTGTCAATTGTTAGTTAAGGACAACATATTAACAGCAGATTTATATCCACTAAAGATGGTGGACTATGATTTAATTTTGGGCATGGATTGGTTGAAAAACCATAAAGCCATAATAGATTGCGAGAAGAGGAAGGTTAGCATTACCATTCACGAAGAAGAAAAGGTGGACCTTAGTCTCGATGAGCGTATCGTACAACCAAGCCTGCTTGTTTATACCAAAAGGAATAGCTTATAAGGACCGGACACATGGACAAGTTGAGCCTTATTATGGTTGCCCTCGGCACCTTGCCTACCGATCCTGCGATTAGAGCAACACCCTTCTCCACGACACGTGGCATGCCCATAATCGACGTCCACAGTCCCACATCGAAATTCTAAACAATATGCACACCTCCCAAGGCCTATAAAAGAGGACTACTATCCCCAAATGGAGGTAATTAGAACTTACGGCATATAGCCTATTAATCTGTCAATCTAAGTTTACTAAATCCGTACTTACTTAAGTATTGAAGAGCCTTGGGCCGGTATCACACCAGTGCCTAAAGGCCTTACTGAGCGTTTGTTATCTTGCAGATCACACGCTTCACAGAAGCCCGAGGCATACCGAATGCCCAACATCACTAAGTTGAGTCCAAAAGTGCCGAACCACTTTTTTGCATCAACACTACTCATAAGAACCAGCTACACAGGCAAGAGAGTTTTGTCGTGCTATTTTATGATAGCATCTGCAAAACTGAAGAGAGGAGAAAAGCTAGCAAAGCTAGTAGTCGATGACTACCCAAACGTATTTCCTGACGAGTTACCTGGATTACTACCAATAAGGGAAATCGAGCTTCGCATCAATTTCGTACTTGGAACACAGCAAATCTCAATCAGACCTTACCGAATGGCACCGGCGAAATTGACAGAACTTAATGTGCAGCTCAAGGACCTGTTTGCAAAAGGGTTCATTCAAGAAAGTACATCACCTTGGGAAGCTTCGATTCTATTTGCCAAGAAGCATGATGGTTCACTTTGACTGGGCATGGATTACTAGAAGCTGAATCAAGCAAAGATCAAGAACAAGTATCCTTTCCCCAGAATTGATGAATTGTTCGAACACCTACTAGGTGCCTGATACTTCTCAAAGATCGACCTGCGATCGGGATACGAGAATAGGACATATCAAAGATAGCTTTCCGCACTCGGTATGGTCACTATGAGTTTGTGGTGATGTCATTTGGACTGACAAATGCACCTACCGCATTCATGGACATCATAAACAACGTATTCAGACTGTATCTCGATAAGTTTGTCATTGTGTTTATCGATGACATTCTTGTTTATTCGAAAACGGAGGAGCACAAACAACATTTGAAGATTGTTTTGGAGACCTTGTTGGAGAAACAACTTTATGTGAAGCAGTCTAAGTGTGATTTCGAGTTAACGGAGGTACAATTCTTAGTTCACGTGATTTTCGGTGATGGAATTCATGTTGGTCCCAGCAAGATCAAAGCAATTTTGAAATGGGAACGACCCTAGAACCTGACGATGTAACATCCCAACCCAAATTTAAGTATTCGTTTAATTTAATTAATTAAATGAATTATGAAATTACAATTTTGCCTTTGTGGATAGGGGCATTTGGTCACTTTTTAATTCGAAAGGATTTTGGGGAAATGAATGGTACTATTGCGTAGATTAGGGTTTAGGGTTCGTAGACACGTAGTGAGCTCAAATCGGAGTTGTAATGAAGAAGTTACGACCTACGGAAACCTGGTGGCATAATCGTAAATATTTCGAAGTTCAATTTTTAAAAGAGAGATTCACTATTATACCTAATATTGGAGCCCAAATTATTTTAAAAAAAATCTTATAGAAATGGACTTTAGAAACACACCCCAAGCCCATTTACAACATAACAAAGAGACTCTTAACTTCTTATAAATTAAAAAATTGTCATCAATTTCTTAAAACAAGCTCAACCCCAAAACCTCATAAAAATACCCAAAACACTTTTATCTATATTATTAGTGCTAAAAATGGGTATATGATTAAATATCTCTTTTTAAAAACCCAGATTTTTCTTCTCTCTCTCTCTCTCCCTCACGAATCTGCCTCTCTCCTCCTTCACAAGCAGCCAAATACAGACGGAGATATCTCTGCCGTCCGGCCACCAAAAATGGTGCCACAACTTGCAAACTCTTCATCTCTCTCTCCTCTTTCCATACATACCCATATCTAGCCTTGATTCCAAGCAATTAAACCAGAAATTCGAGCCAAAGTGAAGCCCAAAACGGGCTGTTTTGAAACCGAAACTTTCGAGGGTTTTTCCTGCCAACTCCGGCCACCACCGGCTGTGCTATCACATCCAAACCACTCCCTATAGAAGCAAGCATATCAGCGGCAGAGTTACATTCCCTGAAGGCATGTTCAATGCGACACACCCCACCCGTCATGAGGGCTTTACAACAAGAGATAAGGCTAAAGAGAAGGCGTAACGGATCACAACTAGAAGCATTCACCAACACAACCACCAATTGAGAGTCGGATTCCACAATCAATGGAGAATAGTTGGAATTGCTAGCAAGCCTCAAACCATAAAGAATGGCCCACACTTCCGCCTCTAACACAGAACCAAGCCCAATATTAGCAGAAAATCCACCACACCAGTCACCATTAGAATTTCTGATTAACTAAAGTGAAAACTAACGAGAGTGGGAATGAGAGAGAGGATGAGAGGGGAGGATAGGAGGGAGGAGGAATAACAAAAGTGAAAAAAAAAACTAAAAACTGAAATCTATTTGAAATTGTTTTCACTTTTGTTACCCCTCCCCCTCCCATCTTCCCTCTCAATACCATCTCCAATCTCAATCTCACACTTCCATCCTCCAACTTTTTCCTCTATAATCTAGCACAACAAATGAAAACTAAAATTGAAATGGTTATCAAGCGTGCCCTTAGAATTTTAAAAAAGAAACATGCAGATCGATAAATAAAAGAGAAACAGAGAGGGAGAGGCAGAGGGAGAGAGGGGGGCCTAGGAAACCAGGTTGAGCCAAAAAATTCAGAAACCAATTTTGTTAAACCAGGTAAAAAGACGTACTCAAAGACGTTAAACATCATATATAGGATTTAGACGCAAAATTTTGAGGCATCAAGCTTCTGCAGGACTCCATACATCGCATGGACAAAAGAAGAAAACCTCCAAAAGCATACCAAACAATTGTCTCTGCATACAAGAAGTTCAGAAATCCAACCATTTGGTGAAGTAGACACAAGTCCTTGGGGAAATAATACCATCTGGTGTACATTGACTTATCCGTGGACAAACTCCACATGGAATGGAAGCCATGGCCCCTACTTTGGGTTCCCGTTTAGTACCTCCCTTGCTTGTGGATTTATAGCAAATTTTCCCAACAGGAAACGAACCAAACTCCCCCATCCCATTGCTCTTCACTTCCGTGACCCGTTTGTCCAAAACCAAAACCCTCAGAATCTCCTCAATTTGCTGTTTTGTGAACGAAGTTTTGAATATTCCACTCTTTTTAACTTCATGTGAAATTCCCTCCAAGGTAGAAACCTTGAGCTGATATATGATCTTTGCAAACCCATCTTTTACACAGGTTATGTAATATTTATCGAGGGTCCCATTAGAATACCAATCCCCGCCAGTTAACTCCTTGGAGGGCTCAAACTCTGCAGCCATATAATGCTTTCTCCCCTTGCTTTGGACATTTACAACCTCTTTTATCAGGTTCTTGGCTTGGAGTGATTTTATGGATTTGCCAACCAGATTGTCGGGGAGGTTCGCTTCTTTCTTCATGTCTCGTGTCCAAATTCCCATATCTTGCTTGCTTCGGATTACAGTATATATGATTTTCTCATGCTCTGTCAAAGACTCCGACGGAGAACTTGAGTCTGGCTGTTTCCGTTTGAGTGCTGAAGGTCTGCTCATCTTATGATCCTGTCGAGGGGTAAAGAAAACAACAGAAGAAACTTTATTGACGCTTACATCACAAAGCTCTATAACTTGTTTCTTTTCTGAGGTGTTAACAAATTAAATCATTACTTTCTATGGGATAAGATACAACAAACATAAAATCCGAAAATGTATTCACTTATATTAGAAAGACTATTTTTGGTGGCAGAGAAACAGGAAAAGAAAGCAAACAAAAACACTCAAACAAGTTAATATCCTTCTGTTTATAGCCGTAATTTATTAGGAAAAGTCTGGTATTGTTTATCCTATAAATATATTTTATTCAATAGAGCTTTCTGTGCTGTGCAGAGCTTGGATAGTTTCTCCCAGCTGCTTGAAAGAAAGCTTTCGTCAAGGAAGATATGTGGGTGAGTTGAATTGACTATGGTTTTGTTGTATTAGTAACACCTTAAGCATTTTCTTTTTCCCATTGTTGGATGAATCATCTTACATATTAGATGACAGAGAATATGCGCTCAAATATAGAACTGAGTTAAGAGGTGCAGTTCTCAGAGCGAAAGCAAGTCCCCAAGGCTTGCTTAAAGGCTATGATGTATACATAGCAGCTCATGTTGAACCCACTGCTAGGATGTTATCTTCCATTGTCAGGTCTGCAGGAGGAAATGTAAGTTCCTCACTAAATGTAAATATTGGATAAGCATGCTTGCGATTGAAAATGTGAACACTGTAATGGTCTAGGGGAATGACATCTTGCTTTTTGTATGTCATACTTGTAAAATGAGCAAATGAAACCTACCAAACTGGCAGGATTAATATATTCATACAAAATACATGCAAAATTACCTGAGAGATTGGCGGTGGATAGAGTCGGCCAGAGAGATTCGCCGTCGCTGATGTGGGCCTGAGAAGGTGACTGTCGCCGTCGCGATGTGGGTGCGAGAGAGAGAGAGAGAGAGAGAGAGAGAGAGAGAGAGAACAGAAGAGAGGAGAGCAGAGTGACTGAGAGCGAGCGAGCGCGAGAGAGAGAGAGCAGGGCGATGTCGCCGCCGATTTGGTGACGTGGGAGAGAGGGACAGAGGCCGCGTGAGTGAGAGAGAAGGTGAGGGTTACTGAAAAAAATTATGAGAGCGCTTCTATCTAGTGCGTGCAAACCCACCATAAATTCTTCCCTGGACCAATCATTCAACGCCATGTGTCACATACATATAATTAAATATTAGGCGGTTCGGGTCAGGTCCAACGGTTGAAATTTTTTTACCCGAAGCCTGAACCGATCCCAATCGGGTCGGGTCTGTTCTTGATGTTGACTTCGTTATTGTTCTTTCAAAAAATCAAATTTTCGGTTTGATTCTGTCGGTTTAATCAGTTTATCGGTTTTTATGCCCACCCCTAAAGAAGAAAAGCTTTTCTAATTAATTAGAACATTTTTGTTGATAGGGAGACTGGTTTTGTTGGATAAGGGTCCTAACTCGGGTCAAGACTTGAATGTACCCCGGGCTGTTGGGTTGAATCAATCTTCTAGGATAACCTGCACACTTCAAGCAGCTAGACTATCAAAAGGGGGGAAGGACTGGTATGGTACCAGCCAAATCCATTATGATGCCTAAGTTAGAGATAAAATTGATGATCTTCTTTTGAGAATGAATAGATGGAGTTTTCTAGAGAATGGAGTTATTACCCTTGTCTCAATGTAGGTAAAGAGTATTTATAGAGAGAGAAGGGGAGATCATATCTCCTTAAATCTAGCAAAAGGCGAGATCTTCAGCCATTCCAATCTCCTTCAATCTAGCAAAAGGGGAAGATCTTTAGCCATTCCCAATGCTGGGAGTAGAGAGTGGTTATGGGCACCGGTCACTATACTGATTATCAGGGACCAAGTAGTAAGACGACACCTAGCTTGGATGTGAAACGCATTAAATGCTCTCTTTCAGCCACCATGCTGCTATTAAGTGCGTGAAGTGACTTGGTCTGACAAGAATCTAGTCCAGTCGGTATACTAGCGCTTCTACCTTTCTGGTCACATGATGTCACAGTGGATCTAGGGCAGTCAACCTGGTCAGGTCGGTACATGAGCACCCCGACCTTACTTGGCCACGTGGCGTCCTTTGATAAGCTCAGCTATAAGACCTATAACAGTACCTCGGGCGATCAACCAAGTCGGGTCGATATATGAGTGCTACAACCTTACTTGGTCACGTGCCATCCTCTGATAGGCTCGGCTATATGACCTATTATTGAAAACTGTCTGTAGAAAGATACAACTTGAAATTAAGAAATGGAAAGTGGTTATTTTTCAGCTTGGAAGAGTGCTGGTTCTTTGCATGGGCTACAAGTTACAACATGTAGTAGAGGAAGCTGAGGAGATGAAAATAGTGCCAACCTTGCCTGCAATCCCTCAGCCACAAACACCACAGGAGCCTATGGAGTTTTTGTCAAGGTCATGGAGTCTTTCTGCTTCAGAAATCTAAAGGGCTCTTGCTCAAAAGCAGAAGCAAATTTTACTTGAAAAAGGTCCTGACAAATTCCCAAAAGCAATTGTTGTGCCACAACTAGTAAGCTAGTCTCCCTTAACTCCGACGACTATATGCATGTGCAGTATGTCCCTAATTTGGTCCCCTTTATTCATGGTTGCTATTGAATTGCCTAAGTATTCATGAAACTAAGGAGTGGGATGGCACATTCTATCAATAGTTGTAAGTCTGAATTGCAAGTTCAGTTCTGTTTTCTAATTGTTCTGATTCTTTCTTGCAGACAGGAAAGATTGTAAAGTCTGTTAATAATCGGAGAATGAAGTCTATGGGCAAATGGTTCCACCATAAGGAGTTCACTAGTAGCACAGTGAAGAAGAAAGATAAGGAACGGGTAGAAAGAGCACGACTGCCGTCTCCATTGCAGGAGTTGCTGCAGCCTTGGTTGCTGTAACTGACTGCAGCAGAAAACTCTAGTGGTTCTGGCTCAAAAACGACCATGGCTTTGGCTTTGGCTACAGAGTTGCTGGCATCGCATTGCATTGAAATGGCCGTGTGGCATCTGCTGTTAGATCAGCAGCGGACATTCAAAGTCCTGGTGACCTTATGACTCTTACAGCAGCAGCTGCTACAGGTACTTGCTCATATTTAAAAGTAAACAAAAGAGAGCAAAAATTTCAGCTTCCAAATGAAAAGATTAAGAGAATTCTTGAAGAATCATCATAATATGCACAGAAATTTACCAAGTAATGAATTTCTTGTCTTGCTTCTTTACTTTTTGCCAATGAGTGACAGTGCATACATGTATAATAAAAAAAACACTTTGCTACGCAGCGTGGTCTTGTCTTCCTGTTGTTTTAAGCCATTGATCATTAAGTAATACAAAGTCTTTCTTTAGCTTTGCGAGGAGAATCGGCTTTGAAATCAAGGTTACCGAAAGAATGCTGCCATTAGTCCCTATGATAGGGGGAATGGCTGAAATTCCTTCAGCTGGTGCTAAAGATTGAATAGATTGCATGCCAAAAAAAGAAAAAAAGAAAAACACAGAAGAAAATCTCTCGTTTTATAGAAACAAAATAAAAGGGATGGTTCTAAATTAGACCCTACTATTTGCTTTTTTGCCTTTTAAGTTCGCGCAGTTACCTACGCAAATAAGGAGTTCAAACAAAATCATCCCAATAAGATGACTCCTCAAAATATGATTATGACATGCATAAAGCCAATTTCATAATCAACCTGTCGGCCCTCAATAACTATCATTTTCATTTGTGTGCCCTTAAAGGCAGAAAATATGTATTTTCAACTTTTTAAAAGAATGATACAATGTACAAACAGATGCCAGGCACTTCTCCTCAGAAGTATGTTCTTTTTTCCCTCAAAATACAACAGTCTTGTTATCCTCATAAGGTAACACTCGCAGCTCACAGTACGATTTGATTGCCTTCGTAAGGCATTGTTTTTCGAGGTTCTCTGACTTCTGCACAAAACTCTGCAAGTTATCTATGTGTGAAACTCTTGCAACCTGCATATTGAAGTTGAATGTATTGTAAACTTTATAAGCTGCTACAGTTACAATATACGCATCATTGAATATCAATGCTTGGTAATAAATCTAATTTCCAGGTCCCACAGATGGGCATTGCACACAGAACACATAATCTAAAATGCAAGCATGTCTGTCTTAAACAATTTACAGAAGCCAGAAATCAGCAGGTTTGCACAAGTTCTTCAGCAGCATATACTTTTCTTTCAACCACTAAATATTAAACTCTACAAAAAATTTATACAATGCAATGCAATAATCAACAAAGCTGAGTAATGACGTTATCAGGGTATGAGATAAAATTTTAAAATCATGCTTCATATTACCAGAACAGAATATTAATGAGGGATCAAGGCATTGAAAGCATTTCACTTAAAGTTTTAGGCTCACATAAGTTTGTGTTTTAGTAAGATTCTGACTATCGAACATTTCAAAGCACTGTAACTTCTAAAAGTAAGATATATAATCTGAACTAAGACTATCCCACCCACCATGCTCTTGGTGGGTAGCAAAGTCATCCTTTTCAATGTGATCCATGTTCTATGTAACTTGGTTCAGTTGTTTAACTTGATGTCATCATGTTCCCATCTCACACTTGCCCAGGAAAAACCAAAGCTTTCTATGGAAAAAGTAAAAAAGGGTGTAACTTTCAAATAGCAGCAAAAATGAGAATAATCACCACAGAAAATCAGCATGTATGGTCAGAGATTCAGAACCAATAATACAGCTTTTACAAGGATGTCAAAACTAAACAGGGGCAAAATTAAAAGCAGCAGTAAAAAATTTGTATTTACCATCTGTTCAATAATAGGACCAGCATCAAGTTCTTGGGTGACAAAATGACTTGTTGCACCAATAAGTTTCACCCCTGCATCAAAAGCCTGCGAACATAATCTACCAAATTAAACATGCATAGACAGTTAGGATGTAAGCATAGATATACTAAATGGCAACAATATGTTTTAACACATAGAAGGACAAGAAGTGTGAACCTGTTTAGATGGTTTTCCACCCTTGAATGATGGCAAAAGGCCATGATGAATGTTAATTACATCCTTTCCGTAGCTCTTCAAAAAATCACCAGATAATATCTGTGGAAATGAAAACAATGCTTTAGTTCATAAATACTACGATACTAATATTTTACAACAAATCTGCAATATGTCTACTTTGCTTATTCTTTTGTTTTCTTCCTTTAAGTAGCGGACACTAATGGATTTGATAGATTTCAAGCTTACTATCCTTTTTGGTACTAAAGTTTACTGTCCTTTGACTTCTAGTTCTAGAATGAAAGAAGAAGAAGAAGCTTTGTTCCTTCAGTCAGCACTGCAAACTTCAATTTCAATACCTTTTACCCATGGCCGTTTTAGAAAGTTAAAAGTGATAATTGAAATGAAATGGTGAGAACACAGAATTCTGTAACCTGATTTACCTGCATGTACCTGGCAAGAACTAAAAAATCAGTATTTTGAACCAACTCCAATATCTCCCCTTCTCTTTTGTCAGCGTTGGTTGTTTGCAGATAATGATAAGGTATACCATGTCTTTCAAGAAAGTGAGACACATGGGTGTTTGGACCTCTATCATGATTACTGGAATGAAAAGAAAAACGAGGGAATGCAACCATGGTCAAAGTTCTGAATGAAAACCAAAATATGAACTACAATAGTGAAACTTCCAAAAACCTCACCTTATAACACAAGTTATATCTACTGGAAGTCTGCCTTCCTGCCACTGATGTAACAAATCAACCAAACAATGATCCTGCAGCAACATAAAGACAGTTTTAATATACACAACATTAGAACTTATAAGAACATGGGTGTCTAGGTGTGTACATATATAAGAATATTTGTGTGTGGTACACCTGCTTTGATGCAAGGATACAAATCTTATACTTGGGGTCGTGATCTGGAACCCGGACAACAGATCTCATCGCAGAGTACGTTGTCAACAGCTTATGGAAATCCTCATCCATTTCTGATCTTGGCCATTTAATGGGATCGAAAATAAATTCACTGCCAAGTTGCAGACAGTTAGATTTTCAGCTGTCTCATGGTTCGATCTAATCAGAGAGTTCGTACAATTCAACATATTGCATCAAACAATAGCTGGCTCTGGAAAAACTAATGTTGGATAGTTGGAAGCAACCTGTCAAATCGACATGCTCCATTTCTTTCGAAGTCATTATTTTGAAAAGCTGACTCTGCATATTTTAATCTTCTTCTTCTTCTTTGAATAAATATAATTAAAAAAAACTAGCAAACTTCATTGGTTGAATCACTAGATTTTTCATCCTAAGAATATTACACAGTTCCAAAAACAATAAAATGAAACTCATTCCAAGCTTTGGCACTTATAATCAATCAATCAATCCATCCAAACAAAACCAGACAAATTCCTTATTTATTTATTTCGGTTTGCAAATGAAATCTGAGAAATTTGGCAAAAAATATCAAACAGCAAAAGCAAAAGGTACCTTCTGGAATAGAAGACGTGCTTGTTTTCGGGCACGAAGACACTGGCGCCGAGTATGTTTCCACCTTTAGAAGCAATGCAATCCGAGAGCTTGGCCACAATCCCAACTGCATCCTACTTACAAAAAACACACCCATTTTCGATTTTCTCATCCCCGTTTGGTTCCCGAGAAAAAAAGAAGACAAAGGAAAATGAAGCTACTGCGATGCGAGAAGAGATAAAGAGGAGAGGACTTACGGGGGCATGGAAGACATGGATTCCGTAGGAAAGGATGGGAGAAGACGAAGGGTCGAGGGGCTCACCCGGAAATCTCAAGGACTTGAAGGACCTCTTTGCAAATCCAAAAAGCTTGGGGAGGCTTGGATAGGCTCTTTGGACAAGGCTCATTTCTGTCGCTCGCTCTATCTATCTGCAAATGCAAATGGTGGCGCGCTTGGCCTTCACTTCCACAAATACGTCGTCCAGTTAGGTGTCGTTTGGTTTGCAACCGAGTCATGAGTCAGTAACTTGCCAACTGCCACTTGCCAAAAAAAAAAGGAAATTAACTAATATTTTTGTTTATTCCAAAAAAATAGAGACTACAATTGTCCTCTTCCACACCTCTCTTCGATCACCACTTGAGCTAACACCCATACACCCGAAGTCTTCCATTAATTTCCTCTCTCAATATTACTTGTTCAAGAAAACACGAAGAACTTAGTAATACTATACATAATTAGAGTGATTCACTTATTCAAAATTATATCCACTATGAATTTCAATTGTTTGTCACAAATAAGATATTGAAAAATCACTTTTGGTAGTTTGATGAAGAAATTCAACGATTCTAAAAGGGTCATGCTAGGGAGACCAATTATAGATACCAATTTATATATCATCTCTCTAATAAAGGTGGAGCCCATCAATACAATAGGTCCCATCATGGTATACAATAATCCTTAGCATTCTCCATTCTAAAATTATTCCACATTATAACGGATCACATGATTAGCATGATTTTGGCCAGCCATTAGTTGATGCAAACTATGGTTCATTATTTATTATAACATACAACTACCACATGACAAAGAGCAAAATCATAGATGGGAGGAGTTTTTTTATTCAATAATTATCGTTCATGATATTTAAACTTAGAATTTCCTCTAATAAAATATAAACTAATGTTGTTGAATTAAATGATCATTAGCGGAATGCATATTACTTGATACAAAATGACTGCCCATGGAATTTTGAAACACTTAAAAAAAGGATAAAGCATATCTATGTTTAGTACATCCAATAAACTATTTGGTTCTGTGCCTACTCCATATTATGCGTTTGATTCTTCCCTCCTCCAATATCGTTTGCATAAAAGAAAATTACATAAAAGAACAACAACAAAAAAAGGCAAGAAGAAAACAAAGTTGGGCTTGGTAGAGAACTGACTAAGGTTGCTATTGGGCTCTCCCTTAGCCCCACATAGCTGGGCCAAGCCCATCCAACGCTCCCAAAAGTAAGACCACAGTACCAAACAACGAGAAGTCACGACTTGAGTTGAGCAACTATGAATTGATGAGCGATTGATACCTGACAAAGGGCTCAAGGCCGATCCTTTCCTTCCCGTCGTCAAAGTAAACGATCCTCCGCCACCGTTACCGTCGGACGGCCTCTCGCTCTCTCAATCTTCAGAGCCCCAACAATGCCTGTAACCTTCTCTCTCTCTATCTCTCTATCTCTCTCTCTCTCTCTCTCTCTCTCTCTCTCTCTATTTTTCTCCTATGATCCAGATCTATATTTATTTATGTATTTATATAAAATTAAAAATAATGGCGGGGCTGTGATCCTGTGCGGTGCAGTTCAGGAGATTGATAGAGGTGGAACCGCCGAGCCCACTGAGGTACGTGATCGGAGCGGCCATCATGATGATCGGAGTAGTCTTACCCGTCGGTTACATGATGTTCCGTAACAAGCGTGTTCCTTCTTCCTCTTCCTACTCCAAACAGACGTAGGTGTGCCTTTTTCAGATTTTTCATTTTCACCATTTCCCCTAAATTTCCCATATTTCTCAAATTGCCCGAGTCTCCTAAATTTGCAAACTTCAAGTTTAGGTATTTGTTCTGAATCTAATTTGAGATTTTTGTTTTGATTGGTATTTCAGGAACAAAGTTTTGATATAGAGAGATACTGAGATTCCAGGAATTTCGGATTCGATTTTTCGTGTAATTTAGTGGTGAAGTTGAAAAGCAGCAAAGGCTGGATCCGTCATCTACAAATGTAAATTCATTGAAACTTCATATCTGTTATATGGGTTATTTGGAATTTTAACTAGATTTTGTACAATGATATATGCATCTGGTTTTCTGTTTTTGTACCTCTTGATTTAGTTATGCAGCTAGAATTGATGCGTATCATTTATCAAATACCCATTTGCCTGGAATAATTTTTCACATTTTTTTAATTCCACTGAACAATCATGTCATATTGCTATAAGGTTGTGTAGATAATTTGTTGGATATACTTTTCGTTTTGAGCCGTATGATAATTTAGATCTGAATCTGTTTGGGTATGAGAAACGATACTTATGATTAGAATGTCTTCTGTCTATCATTGTATAATGCAGCACATGCTTTTTGTGGTTCCTTGTGTGTTCTGGTATGCTTTTACAAGTTGCAATTTGAATTGGTTTATTACTAAGAGAGTGGATACATTGAAATGTTTGATGTATAAGTAATTTTTGGTTGATGTAAAGTGGTGGGATGAGTAAGTAATGATAGGAAGATCCACGAGAGAAGATACAGTTTGGTAATTCCGAGCAGCAATAAGCAGTAGATGACTCCAATAAGTCGGGATAAAAGTGTTAGCTGAGTTGAGTATGAAGGTGGTGGGTGTGACACTACTAATCTCACCAATATACTTGAATGTAGTTTTGTTTGGATTTGATCAGCTGGTGGACTGAGATGAGTATCCTACTTGTGTGAATACCCAGTTATCGACTGGTCAAAATGAAATTTTCTGAGTAGTAGTGGCATTCAGCAATTCTAGGTCTTGTCATTGCTTTCATGTTTTTGGTTTTCGTTTGAAATGCTAGAAGAGTTTATTAGAATAAGTTGAATGGTTCTTGTGAGTTGTATATTCTATGCTGGAGAAGAAGAGGGAGAGAGACCAAAATAAAATGCATGTTGCGGTTCTTGTGGTTGTCTATTTTATCATCTTCGTCCGGTTCAGTTTAGCTGCAAGACATGCCTGTAAGAATTGACAGTTTTAAGTTTTTGCTGGTAGTTAACCCAAATTGGGAGAAGTATGAATTGGTTGTTAAACAGGACTGGGAGGAATTGTAAGAACAATGTTTGCATTGTTTCTTAAGGTTTGAAAATACGCTGGTCCGTTATTTACTTAAAGATTCATGCTTAGTTGGTTTCGGTTTGCAATCCGGTGGTGAATCCTTGTTTCCATCAATTGAGTGGATGAATCCAATTGTGAATTCTTATTTCCGTCAATTGAGTGGACGGCATGAATTCGAGTTGCGCACATGTGAAGTTGCATAGAGTGACCTTAGTGTAAATTTGGCCAAACTACATGAACATGTGCGCAACACGTGACTACGCTGTGCACTCAATTAACAGAAATGACGGTTCCAACGGCGAAATTGATAAATTTAAAATAAAATTGCTAAAATTGAAACTACAATGACCTTGGTGGAACACATGCCTAACTGTAACAGTTTCTTAGCAACTGGCTTTCATGTGATTATAGGTACTCTTTTCTTTTGGGTAATTTTGCCTGGAATATATAAGGTATGTTAACAATGGTGTTAACAAGTCGAAATTTCAGAACCAAGCGGGCAAAGCACCCTGTGCATAGTCAAGGCCATGGCTATAGCAACACTTTAAGGCAATAACGAGTGTGATGGCAGGCATTAATATTTTGTATTGTTAAAACAAGTTCTTAAAACAAGTCCAGCCCTAAATTACAAAACTGCTACCGATTTCTTAAAACAAGTTCAACCCCAAAACCTCATTAAAAAAAGCTCAAATCACTCAACATAGCATCAAAGTAATTTAATAATCAAAATTAAATTCAACATGGCCAGCTATCATTTTTTGGGTTTGTTTATAGAAATTAAATGGTGTAGGATTTATCTATATCTCTAGTGCTAAGAATGGGGGATCTTAAGCCTCTACATTTAGTCACAATACATTTACCCGCATTTCGCAAGATCTTAGCCATTCTAATAATCTAACGACTCAAGATATGACATTTCAATTTTTAACTTTTGACACCTATCTATTTAATTAACTCCAACTTAACAACGTTTAAGTCTAAATAAATAAATAAAACTTAAACCTATCAGCCATCGATGACAGTGACACACCCCACCCCACTAACGGCAAACCCCCCTTCCCTACTCACAGCCAACCTTTCTCGTTCTTTACGAATTAACAACCATGTTAACAAACAACCAGCTAAACTGTTTTTCATAATAATGCAATAAAAAGCAAGAACTAGGTCTTATCATGGTGGCCTTTTACCCAATTAACCCAGACCAAATTACCTAACACTTATAAACAATTATGAAGCGTCTCCACCCATCAATTTCTGGAATATTTCAAGTTTGAGTTAATTATATGGTTTTTGATAGGAGGGAAGGGGGTTGCCGTGATTGGGGGTGGGGTGTGTCATGGGTGGTTACCGATAGGTTTATGGGTTTTTTTATTTTTTATTTTATTGGGTAAATTCCACGAGGTGTCCCCACACCTGAATAGTATGATTAATCCTTGCTTAGGGTTTGGCTTACACCTAGGCACAAAATGCTCCCAACTGGTTTTAAACCCTTGCTAGTTAGGCACTAGGAGATGACAATTTACTAACCGCACCACACCTTGTGGTTTAGGATTTAGGGTTAACGATGTTAAGTTGGAGTTAAATAAATAGGTGTCAAAAGTTAAAAATTAACATGTTATATCTTGAGTCGTTAGATTATTAGAATGATTATTGCGAAATCCGGGAAAATGCATAGTGACTAAATGTAAAGGCTCAGATACCTCTAATTTAAATTGGGTTTAATTGCTTACTAGGTGGGCTTGAGTTATTTCTTTATGATGAAGATTAATAAGTGCTTCCATTTGCATGCAATTTTTCACTCATCAAGTAATAAATAAATGTGACTAATAATACTAATAATTTAGCTCCAAATAGAATTTCCCATGAAGAAGATGTAACTCAATCAACTTTGAGTCCATAACAATTTTCTTATTTTTCATTAATCAATATACTTTGTACTTGAGGAGATGCATAAATTTTATTAAATGAAATACAAGAAATTATTTTTAGAGTGAAAATTCCTTTTTTGTTGAGATTTTAATTTATTTGAGGTCGTGTTAGACAAAATTAAAAATAAATTATGTATAGAAAAAACATTTCGATAAAAATGAAGAAAAAATTTCGATGGAAGAGGTGCCAAGCCAACAGACCCCCCTACAAACCGAGTCAAAATTCCAAGTGTTGCATTTTCACCAGAGGTTGAAAGTTAAAATAAATAACTGTGGTAAAAGCTGCAGCGAGATTCACTGCCATCCATTTAAACAACTACATTCATTCATTCACAGTCGCAGAGAGAGAAATTTGAACTCTTTAAATACCTCCATTTCGCTCCATTTCTTTCATAGCTTTCAAAAAGACATCAAAGAAAAACAGTGCAAAAGTTTCTATATATTTCTTTATTAAAAAAAAACAGAAGCAAATATGTCTCACGAATTGAGCGATGAGCAAGTCGAGAAGCTCAAGCAAGCCTTCGACAATTTTGACAAGGATGGCAATGGTTAGATCCCTCTTTATATATATATATATTTATTTATTTATTTATTTGTGTGTTGAAATGTTGAATTAAATTACTAAATCAACCTTAATATTTAAATTTCATTGGTTAGTTAAATTTCATACTTTTGATTGACAAAAAAGATGTTCAAGAAAATGGTTCATGTGCTTTTTGAATAAAATTTTCTTATTTATTTTTATTTATTTGCAGGCACTATCACTACCGATGAGGTGAGCAATGTAATGACCTCAATAGGGCAGCAAAGCCCATCTGAGGAAGAATTGGAAGAATTTATTCAACAGATGGGCGGTGAAGATGGGAGGGTTCGCTTTGATCAATTCTTGAAATTCATGGCAAAATTCATGAATGCTCAGTGATTATTATTATGCCCAACATAATAGTCAAACCCCTCTCGGATTATTTTCGTTCAAATACTCACATTTGTCAAAATAATGACGAGTACATCTATAAATTTCTCACTATTTCTAAGATAGATTTATTTGTTCATAATAAAAGGGTAAGTGATACTCTTAACATTTTGTAATCATTCTACAAAGCTTTAATGCAATTTTGTTCTCTCTCTCTCTCTCTCTCTCTCTCTCTCTCTCTCTCTCTCTTATTTTTGTAACAAAAAAAGATCTCCTTAATTTCGTCCAAGTACTCAGAAAGAGGAAAAACGAACTAATAATCCTAGCTTAGTTTTGGGGGTGGGTGTTTGTGGAATCTCAAGGATGAGAAAGAGTAAGGAGCTGAGAAATAAGATGAGAAAAGGGAAGGAGCGGAAGGGTGCAATGAACAATTGTCGTCCATAAAATTTGTACTCAAAATATCCTCAAATAAAATAGACATTAAATTGTCAATAGACCAAATGGTCATTGTCGTGTAATGTGCTTACATAAGTATGTACTAATCACAAACTAATAATTGTGACAAATAAGAGTTCATGCACCAAAACGAGACACAAATCGAAGTTCATGGGACACTAGTACAAAAACCCAAAAGTTTTATTATATGTTCGAATTATAAACTTGATTTAAAAATAAGGGATTTCACGATGTTGTAGTAACCCAATTATGAGATGATTAATGAACAGACCATATTAGTATCAAATCACCTCACATAATTAGATGGACAAGTCTGTAAGAATTTCCTAACATTCGACGCAAACGACGACACATCAAATCACTCTCATTCAACAATCACCTAGCCATATGGTAGTTTCTTATCTAATATTCACTTCCTAATCTCCAAGAAAGTGCTAGCTTGGTAGATTGTGGAGGGGCTCTATGAACATCCAAGTTTCTTTCAATATATTCCCATAACTGGAACCCTGTATTGCTCTGATTAATCGAAAAAATTAAACCTGTAAAAGGCAGCATTGCGCTGATTAATGATACATTACTTCAATTTCAGCAATTTGGTACATGGCTAACATACTTTTTTTTGTTTCATCATGAAAAGATTGAATACACCATATATAGGCTAGCTACCCGGGGCTTACTACTGATCCTGCCACCTCCCTAAGGGTTCCCCAACACGGACTCTATCCCCACGTTGGACCGAAAACCTGAACTCTGATGAGGAATCCCCATTTTCTTGTGATAGTGATATGGGAGCCTGGAAGACAAGCACAACAGTTGATCCCATGTTGAATGCGGCTACCTGAATAAATGGAAGCACACAGACAGTAACCGGTAAAATAAAAACCTTGAATGGATAGATGCACAAAACATTAACAGATGAAGATAATAAACCAATGGAAGAGCTCATAAGTTTGGTGATGAGGAGCATAAGAATCTAAGATACCAATTTTAAAAACCACGTAAAGACTGGTTATGTATAACTGCTCTCTCTCTCTCTCTCTCTCTCTCTCTCTCTCTCTCTCAAATGATTTCCATCTTTATGCTTGGAAGTCAACAAAAAAGGGATTCAAGGCAAGTGGAACCATTAAAATAAATCTTTTATCCAAGGATTTCTAGGCCAGATGTTGGCAAAAGTAAATAAGTAAAAGTATGAAATATCATTTTAAAATTCCAAGCAGCTTTCTTTTGTTCTCTTTTTATATCTTGGACATTACAAAACTAACCAAAGCATAAAAATCCTGGAAGACAGTCAAAATACATGTCTAACCTCATCTCCTTTCTTGAGCGTCCTACCAATACCATCAGGTTCATATATCCGTTCTTCTGGAGGCTCTGAGTGCAGTAACTTCTTTCTTGCCTGGTTTGTCCAAAGTTCTGGTTCAATGGAAAGCTGCCATGTCCAAGATCAGATAGATTCAACGACAATAGAAAGATAATCAGTAGAAACTAGTACTCCAATGACACCCAAGTCCGATGAAAAAATAAAACTAAAAAAATACAACCCATCAATCTGGGTTTGCTTCAGTTGGGACAAGGTGCAACTCATGAAATTTGATTTTCATTCAGTTTTTTGTCTTTCGTTTTTGTGAAGGAGGGAGGTATTGGATTGTTATAGAATCAATTGTGCACTTATTAAAAGAGATGCCCGTTTAAATACTTTCTTGAAACACCACCCTATGCACTACCCAGCCCTTCCATGCACAGTATTTGATTGTGTCCTAAACCTCCTTCAAATTCAGCCTTTTCAGGTTAATTGCCTACATTATTTTAATTTAGTAAATGCCAAACCCAGAAGTGAGTAAAAGAATTGTTTCTATGTGCAAGTGTTTCCATGTTTGGTTTGTGAGTGTGTGCGTGCAAGTGTGTCCCCTGGGAATTCAACTCATCATATGCAAAGAAACACTTTACCTCAATTGAACCAATATTCGTTGCTCCAACAGCAGCAAGTGCCATAAATCCTTCTTTCCATAAACCTTCAAGCACAACCTGATCGCATAAGAATTGCAAAGACAACTATAAATCAATAAAAGAACAAAGGAAGAATTGCATGTTGACCCATAATTACCCTGGAAAAGATGGGAAGACCAAACACAGCAAAGCAAGTTGACATATTGATATATTAAATTATCTGACACTGGGAGAACTTTTGAACAATAGGATGATTTGACAGTACAGGAGAAGGCCAGATATTTCCAAGAAATGCGAGTTTTTGTTTGTAATGTGTCACCATGTCAAATTCCATTTATATGCATTGCAGCATAGCATCCAGAATATTTAATCTCATACACGCCCTTATTATGTCTAAATTCATCCCCTGCATTTTCGTTAATTGGTTTTTGCATATCTTCTCATTGATTAGTTTTTGTCCATCACCATCCCAAAAATGAAAGAATAAATGAAGAAGAAAAAAAAACCAGTATTTAATTTGTTTAACAAGTAAGCATCTCTCATAACACGAATGAACGCGATACTACCAAAAACATAAATAGCAGCATATCTTGATAATTGTTAAATTCCTGTTAATATAAACTAATATACAAAAGTTTACCCGTTCGTTCTCAACATAAAGGTTTCTGATAGTTCTTGTAGCACGTTCATTTACAGGAAGTAGACGACCTGCAAAGTAAATACCAAGATCATAAATGAAATAGCTAACTCAAGATTTTTAGAGCCAACACTGGTAATCAATGAGAGCATAAAATGAAAACTTAAAAATTGAGCAACCAATCATGTATTTGCTTTTGGTTTGCTACAGAATAAGCAAATACACAGAACGGTCCATAAAATTTAAAGAAATATAAAGATAAAGAACTTTCCAAGGCTGCAAATTCCTTCATAATCCACAGAACCGTTAACCTAAGTAAGGAACCAGCCGCAATGTGTTCAACATGCAGGTCGTTGCAGCCCTAAGCTTACCAGAAAAATGACGGCGGACAAGAACATTCCAATCAGCTGGTGCATGTATGCGATGATAGTCTCCAGGCTTCAAGTAAATTACACAGTAAAAGAGGCCTTTCATAGGACTGCAAAGAAAATTTATGTATTTATTAAACTGCATTGTATTCAACTTGGTACATACATAAATATCAGGAAAAATGATGGGTCAACTAATGGCACTATTTGCATCCAAGTATCTCATTACCATGCTGATACAGGGTCCCAAACTTTAGGAGAAGCCAATGAAACTCTCAGCCATGACTTCTTACTCTTCTCCCTGGAAGCATTTTCTGGTTCACTACTCTCCTCATGCACATCTCCTTTAGCTATCAAAGGAAGAAATGAGCTTGCACCGAGCAGGGAAAAAACTGAATAAGAAAAACCTTTGACTTGCTCAATCATAGCCCCTGCTCCTCTAAGCTCCCCAAATCGTAATACAGTACCATCCACAGGACTAACCTTCACAACAGAAATGCAGTCATGCATGTCACATAATGCTAAAAACACTTCAAAGTGGAACAGATTGGACAAATAAGCAGTCCAAATTGCTGGTTACCAGTTACCAGACATCGTGGGTCATGGTCAATAGGCCGGGAACCTTCTTTCAAGGAGCGAACAAAGAACTCTCGTAAAGACGTGTATTCATCCAGAGGGAGAGCTGCTTCTTCCAAGTCTAAAATGCAAAACATATCATATTTTCAATATATTATATATCATTCAGTTTTAACTTTTTTTCATGCACAAATTTCTACCATTCTATTCAAAACTAATAAATGACTAGCTATTGTAGCAAAACATTAAAAAAGTCTGATGACAACAATAATGAAAAAGATAAAATCATACTTGAATGGAATGCTCGAGCCCAAGCTCCATAAACATACGGACGTAGAGAGACTGGGATTTCCTGAAAACATTTTTGTCTAGTGGGTAAATAATTTCAAAACTTATCAATAAGAATAAATAACTAAGACAATATTATGAGTCGAGCTACAAAAATAAATTTGTTTTCTCCACACACAAAAAAAATAAAAAAATAAATGGAACATGTAGCTTGAAAAGGAAATAGATTTGTTAAAGATGAGGAATCAAGAAACAGGAAGATCACTTACCACACTAGTCAATAAACCCCAACATCTGGAAATGGAGCGCAAAGGCAGCAATCTTAAAAATGTAGACTACAGTTGCCAATGTAAACAAAATTCAAGTCAAAGTCAGAAATGGACAACGAACTTTGCAACTAAAACACAGAAGCTATAAGTGAAAGCATGAAACTACAAAACATCAGGCAACGATTACTATTGATACATTACTTTTACATCAGGTTGAAACTCAAATTCCGTTCCCTTCTCCCGTGCCTCCTCAACCTATCAATCAAGTAGGGGGGAAATATTAAGACATATGAAATAATCATCGCAACTTCTAGAATGTGCCTAGTTATAACAACTGAGATCAATTTGGAATATAGAACACAATATAACAAATACACATAAATGCACACAGAAAGTGTTCTACTGCATATTTCAAGTGTTATGCACCAAAAAGGTAGAGATGGCATGTAATCTACTGAAATTGAATTCACCACTATGGACAGGCAGTGATAACAGTAACTACGTAACTAGACACTCGAATTCTGAGGCAAAGGTTGAATATTTTGTTCCTTCTACTCATAAGACCTTCTCAAGCTTAGATAAACATCTGACATCTGACATGTGATGTTTTTTGTTATACGGCAGATTATCCGGCATGTCTCAATCATGGTTAACGCGCATATGCTGCTGATTTCATTCATTCATTTATTTATTCCACATTTTTTTATATGGAAAAATGGAATGTAATTCACCCACATATACCTTCCTGTCATCATACATCCGACGAACATGTAGAGCACCAAGCATAAGCAATGTAGCCACCGTTGCACCAGGCAAGAGAAAAGAATCACCTGCACACAGCCTGTAATTAGCTTCACACGCTTGAAAAAAAAAGTACCTAATGATAACTTTTAACAAATAAATAGCTCATAATAGTCACAGAAACTAAATTCAAAATTTATAGTGCCAACGCTCCATCACAACGATTTGCAACTAATTCAAGATACGCCAATGCTTTATCATAAAAGAAAAAAGAAATTGGGGAATCAATTCCACTAAAACAAAGTTTCTTTCTTTTTGTCTACATTATTTTCTTGGCAACCAAACAGAAACTAAGCGCCGGAAGCGAAACACTGACCTTTAGAACTACCACCTCCGCCATTGGAAAAGGAGCGAGCTTGAGTGGGTTTATGGAGTTTTTTAAGAAATGAAGCGAAGCAGCGTCGCTGGTTATGGAGGGAATTGAGGTGTGTAGAGTGAGAGAATATAAGGACTCCATGTGAAGCCCTAAATTTCATCTCGTTAAAAGATTTGATTCAGTTTCAGGCTTAAGCCTCTCACCACTGCAGGGGAAGCAGGGTTTAGGAATTAGTGGTTTGCGATTCTATTTACACCCCAATTATATCTTTGGACACCCCTGACATGGATTTAACTTTCCGAACCAACCCACCGACAGTTGTCATCGCCGACTTTCTTTTTCCTACAAAGTGAATGAATAATGGAAAAGTTAACAAAATTATGAAAGTAAGTACCCATTTACCAAAACTATATAACTAATTTTGCTTTCCTTTTCCTTAATAAAGAAAATTCAACCATCATCAACTAGCTATTAGTTTTATGGTACTTCTGTCTCAATATATTATATGTTGTTTTACACGAAATTGTATTGTGTCATTGTCTTTTTATTTTTTTTTCATCCACTGCATTATAATTTTTCGTTATTTCATTTAAGAACAAATTTTAATTTTAAAAAAACACCGATGTCCTGAATCCCCTGCGAGTCCTCGTTACCTAACACTCGGCCCCAATCTACCCCGTTGCCATGCCTAACTTCAACCAAAAAGTACTTAGGTGTTTATGTTATTTGATTTTCCATTTCCCTAGGCAAATTCACACTTGAAAAAAACAGTGGCGGTTTCAAGATTCGAAAGCCGACCGGGCAAAACTTATTTAACAAACTTGACGAAACAAGTGAATTTCATTAATAAACATAAAAAAGAAATGAGCCTGGACAAAACTCTCTCGAAACGTTATTATACATAAGCATGCTACATGCAACATATTAGCAACTATCACAATCCCAAATTCACGGTGGATTTTTACTTAAAACTCTCGCGAAACGTTCGTACTTTTGAAGAACATGTCATGCCATGATTCATGGTGGATTTTTACATAGCAAACTTGAGTGTTGCATTTTCACCAGAGGTTGAAAGTTAAAACAAATACATGTGGTAAAAGCTGCAGCGAGATTTACTGCCATCCATTTAAACGACTACATTCATTCACAGTCGCAGAGAGAGAATTTGATGAAACTTTAAATACCTCCATTTCGCTCCATTTCTTTCGGAGCTTTCAAAGAGACATCAAAGAAAAACAGTACAGAATTTTATATATATTGCTTTATATATAAAAAACAGAAGGAAATATGGATTCCGACTTGACCGATGAGCAAGTCGAGGAGCTCAAGCAAGCCTTCGACATTTTTGACAAGGATGGCAGTGGTTAGATCCCTCTTTTTGTATATATTTATGTGTATATTACGCTTTACCATCTCAACTTAAATTTCTCATCTTTATCACTAATTGTATATGACTAAACACATGATTGCACAGGAAAGATCATAACATGTTATACACGTGGTGACCGTTACATACCAATCGTAGAAATACAAAAGGGAATACGTGTGTTGAAATGTTGAATTAAGTTACTAAATCAACCTTAATATTTAAATTTCATTGCTTAGTTATAAAACTTAATTTCATTGACGAAAAAGATGTTCAAGAAAATGGTTCACGTGCTTCTGAATAAAATTTTCTTATTTATTTATTTACAGGCACTATCACTACCGACGAGCTGCGCAATGTATTGACCTCACTAGGGCAAACCCCATCTGAGGAAGACCTGGAAGAATTTCTTCAACAGATGGGTGGTGATAATGGGATTGTTCGCTTTGATCAATACTTGATCTTCATGGAAAAATTAATGTACCCTAATGGTGCGGTTGAATGAAGGAATTCTAACTTTCATGCTCCGTTTGGATGAAAGAATTGCAAATTACATAGAATTCTAAAATGACGGAATTTAGATTTCCGTTATTTCAATGTCTGGCAATTGAAGATTTTAGTGTTTGGATTGATATATATTGAATTTTGTAAGAACGAGTAAAACAAGATAAAGAATCCCCTTCATTCTTTGAACTCAGCTTCTATGAGTTGAATTAAAAGACGTCTACATTTGACTCTTCAGCCAAATTTGGATTAACCTAAAGCATACAATTGTAAAGCAAGTAACGTTCAAATCCCTTAAAAAAAACATTCATTATCGACTACTGTTATTACTCAAAATTGTAATCAAGATAAAATCATCTATATTAGTCAAAAAAACAAGCGTAACAGCTAAAATTGATTCAAACATATATGAATCTTAGCTCAATTTTAGGAGATAATAAAGGTGACTTTGAAACATGATTCAAACTAAAATTGAGCTAAGGTACTTAAACAGACATGAATCAATTTTAAACAGATATGAATCAATTTTGACAAACCTCAAAACAAATTCTTAAACCCAAAACTTAGTCAAACAAAGAGAAAAAGAGACCATAACAGAAACTACAAGAAATTATGCAGACTGCAAGAAACAATATTTTCACAACATATAATCTAATCCTTTATTGGAACAACACATATTGAAAAGCAAGGATAGGTTGAGACTATACCTTTATTGGAGCAACACAGAGTCTTAGACTAAAATATGATAGAGATGGCAAAATCTGAAAACCAAACACTCTGTATCAGATAAAAAAAGATGATTAACTTCTGTTTTTTGGGTCGAAATCTAGTTTAAAAAAGAAACAAGAAGAGATAGAATACGAACAGAGCCCGATCAAACATATTAGATAAAGAATCAAATAACAAAAACAAAGTAGAGATAGATCGATCAAACCCATTAAATTGAATACCCATCAATAATATCAACAACAAAAATAAAAAATTGCAACTAGATTGAAAGCTCACCCAAAAAAAAATGCAACTATTGCCGCTAGGCTATATTATTTATTATAAAAAAAAACTAGTTAACGCCGCCTGGCTATACTATTTTTCAAACAAACATTAATAAAATTGAGTATAACTGTACCATTTATTAAAGAAAATTATTTTTTAAAAACCAGGTTAAGCCGCACGGCTATCCTATTTAAAAAAAAATTAGAATAAAATCGAGTATTGCCGCCTGGCTATACTAATTATGAAAAACAAAAACAGATTTGCTGCATAGCGCCTAGTTGCTCACGTGTCAAAATAGTATAGCCGCCGGCTATACTATTTAAAAAAAAAAAAAAAAAAAAAAAAAAAAACAGGAATCTAGCGATTAGACACCACATACGTATAAAGTGTATATCCGCTCGGCTATACTATTTTAAAAAGGGAAAAAAAAATGCGTCTGTACTATTTATGAAAAACAAAAACAGATTTGAAGCGCCTAGTTGCCTATGTGTCCAAAACAGTATAGCCGCACGGCTGTACTATTTTTAAAGAAACATTAATAACACCGAGTAACAACTATATTCGCCTTCAGTGAATGCAGTTTGTATATTTGCATTCACTTATGGTTGCAGCCTGTTTGTGTTAGATGGAATGTTTCATTAGATGTCTATATTTAAGCCTTTTTCAATCTAAGTTTTCACTGACCTTTCGCGAGTTGATTCATATTTTTCTTTCTTATCTTGTCCAAACTATGAAATTCCCCTGCTCATAATTTGCATAAAACGAGGTTTGTTTCACAAGGCCTGTGAGACGTACGACTTAAGTCGTTTTGTCAATCTTCATTATGTGGCATGAGCAAAAAGAAACTTTGTTTACATAACATATGCATAGTCTTCATTATGTGGCAGTGGATTTTTGGGAAGACAGTCAGTAGCATAATTTTTTGAAACGCTGGTCAAGGTGAAGGATTTGTTTGTATAAGTAAGGCATTTTTTGTGTGTTTGTCATTGAAATTTTCAGAAGAGAGAGAGAGATAACAAGATAAGACTATGAAATGAAGCAAGATTGTTTTGAAAGCTAGATATTTTATTTGGATAAGCTCAATTTTGCTTTCATTTTCTACATATCTTACTGTTTATGATAAGTCTGCTGTTTTTTTATAGGAGCCTACGAGGCTAGAGTTTGGGAAGAATAATTCCACATATGGAAAGGAATTATTCTTCCCTAATTTGGGGAGATTGATCTAATTAGGGATTTGATTTAAATCAAATCCCTAATTAAGGCAAAAATCAAATAATTCCCAATTAAATCAAATAACTCCCAATTAGGTCAAATAATTCCCAAATTGATCGGCTTAATTATTTGACCTATGATATGAGATATTTTGCTTCCACAAGTTTAGATTTTACAGATAGATATTATATGAGTTTAGTTTAGGAGACAAATTGCCTAGTTGATTGCTTGCAACACATTCCCAGGGATTCATTCTCCAAAAAAAAATGTTTGTTTGACTTTGCCTTCTTTACGGTGCCTAACAAAATTATATGTGTGGTAATTATTCAAACCTGCCTTTGAGTGCAATGCACGTTGAGACTAATACCGAACTTGTTTATCAAGATCCACAGGGGTTTTGTATACCAAAAGCAACTATTTCATTGCCTTTACCTATTCACCCAATAATATATTTTTTTTCTTCCGGATATAATTAATTTATTTTTGTGCTCTATAAATCCAACCCTTTGAAATGGTAATTGATAAAATTGTAGCACTTTTGGTTCAAAGATGTCTGGGACAAGAGTTAAAGCACAGAGCAGAGCTTTGGTCATCATATTTGGCCTTCTCTGCTTGCTTTTGCAAAGTGAAGAAGCCCACCATGGAACTGAATATGTAGTGGGAGATGACAAAGGCTGGGACCTGTATCCTGAGGTATGCAACTGGGGGAAAGACAAGCACTTCAAGGCTGGAGATGTCTTGGGTAAGATTTATTCTCTTATTATAATCTATTCTTCAAAGAAAATTTTAACTGAACTCATCATGTTCAACTAAGTTTGAGGTGATATTCCAGTTTTGGTTATAAGTTATTTCATCATGTAGCCAAATCTTAAGGTGCATTCCAACTTTGAGTAAGACTTCTGTTAGTTTTGTTTTCAGAGAGTCCAACTTAGCTGCTCATACATTAGTACGTTTTCGCCTTATATATCTTTAAATGATGCATCTTCATGGTAACTGATTTCTTGTAATGTTTCTTTGGTTTAGAACTGCTATGAAAAAAGTTTAACCTGAAAAGTACACGGTCTAGAACAATTCATATGTCTGGAACTATTTGCATAACATTTGTTTTTGGTTTACTGTACAGTTTTCAAATATAGCAACCCATTATTTAGCGTGGCGGCTGTGGATGCAAAAGGGTACCAATGTTGTAAATCAAAAGGCCATCTTAAGAAGTTATACAACTCTGGGGACGATCATGTGGTGTTAAAGAAGGGTCAAAACTACTTTATTTGTAATGTTATAGATTACTGTGGTTATGGAATGAGAATTTCTGTTCATGCAGAGTGATTCATCTAGCTATATATATGCTGCTTGTTACAGTAGTTTGTCTTTGCAATAAAGAGTTTCTATGAAGGAAATGTTGTAATATTAATCTTTTGTATGTTATTTTTCTGAATGTAACCATTTCTTCTTCCTCCTTCCCCTTGCTTCTTCTCCATCTCACACTCCATCCCAGATGATTTATTTATTTTCTTAAAACCAAGTTGATATAGAGGAAATCGCATTACGGGGATTGGCACAAAAGTTGTTGTACAAGATGGACAACTTGTTGTTTCGCCAAGTCCTCCCGTAGACATGTCTTTAATTAGGGACGGAGCTAGAATTTTAAGTTTACGGACCAAAATATAAAGTGCAATCATTAAGTAGATTGATTTTTACAGATTGAAAGAGTCTGATACCACATCTTTCTTCTTTTGAAAAACACATCATCTAAAATATCTAAACATTGGTAATTGATAAGATTGTTGTAGCACTTATGGTTCAAAGATGTCTGGGACACAGAGCAGAGCTTTGGTCAATATATTTGGTCTTCTCTGCTTACTTTTACTAAGTGAAGAAGCCCATGGAACTGGATATGTAGTTGGAGATGAAAAAGGCTGGGACATGTATCCTGACATCTAATTTGATCCTTCAATCAAAATCTGAGGTTATATTCCAATTTTGGTTATAATTTATTTTATCATGTAATCAAAATTTAAGGTACGTTGCAACTTTGAGTAATACTTCCGTTAGTTTTGTTTTGCCTTATCTTTAAATGATGCATCAAAGTTATGAAATGTTTCTTTGGTTTGGCGACTGTGGATAGAGAAGGGTACGAAAGTTTGCACCAAAAGGTCATTTTCAGAAGTTATACTTCTCTGGGAACGATCATGTGGTGTTAGAGTAAGACAAAGACCAGAACTACAATAGAATACATCAACACAGAAGTTACATGAAAGCTAAACTCTATAGATACAGATATGAACCAGTAAATGATAATAAAAGTGAATCAATGTATATATATATATTCAGCATTTGCACAATATATGATTATGAACTCTCTTCACAAATTCAATTTAATTGTGTAAAGTAGAGCTAAAAAATATTTCAAATACAGATGAACTTATAATATTTGCTGAGTTATGACATTACTAGTCTAGACTAAAATGCCACCAATGTTAGGAAGAATATGGGGATGTCTCTCAGGAATGGCACGAGGAATGGCACGTGGAATACGGTGGGAGCCGACGAAAAAGGGATGCTTAAGTGCCTCTGCAGCAGTCGGCCTCTTAGCAGGATCCCAAGAAAGCAGCGAAGTAATAAGCTTAATTGCAGACTCACTGGCAGATGGGATGAAACATGAGAGACCAGACCCAGAAAACTGTGGAAACTGATACTCAGCCTGCCCTGCAAGAATTTGCCCTTCAGGCCATGACTTCACGGTTGGGCTGCCTAGCACACTACAAATCCAAAACAGCTGCTCCTCCGCATTGTTACCCGGAAGTAGAGGGCGGAGGTTGAACATCTCAGCCAAGATTACACCCACAGCCCACATATCAACCTTGGAATCGTAGAAGCGTGAGCCCAGCAACACCTCTGGGACTCTGTACCAGCGAGTTGTGACATAATCTTTGAAAGGAATGCCCGGCTGAATCTTCTTAGCAGAACCCAAATCCCCAATCTTGACCACACCTTGTTTGACCAACAAGTTTTCCGGTTTGAGGTCACGGTGGCACCACCCATTCTTATGCATGTGATCTAGCCCAAGAAGAATTTGATGACACACATTCCTGATTTGTGCCTCATTGAATCTCTTCTTGTGCAGTTGCATAAATTGCAATAAGTTGCCCTCCATGAATTCAAAGACAAGGGAAGCAGTGCCATCAAATCCCATGAAAGCTTGTTTCAAATTGACAATATTCGGGTGGTTCTTCAACTGAGACAGAGACTCAACTTCTGCCATTTGGAGAAACTCCTCCCATGAAGTCAACCTCGATACCTCATTCTTCAGTTGCTTAATTGCAACAATCTCACCAGTCACCTTGTGCAAAGCCTTCCATACAACCCCGAAACTTCCTTGACCGAGCGGCTTAAGGAAGCAATAATTCTCCATTCGAACTATCTCAAGAAAACAACACAGACCCAACAAAACTCTCTCTTTGTTAATGGAAACTCAAGATTTCCTAGAAGCAAAACCTAACTGATTTCTTACTGGCTTGCTCACTCACTCAAGGTAGAAAATGCAAGGTGCCCAACTATTATTTATAGGCTAAATCTTTCCCAATCCTGTAAGGATAGCCTAATCTTTCCCAATCCTATAAGGAAAAGGAATTTTTGTAGTTGAAACTGTTCTATTTTACTTGGGCCCAAAGTTTTTCCACAGTCAACATTTTTATTTAGAGTCAAAGCCTTTCAACGGTAGAGATTTTATGGTTTAAATTTTAAAGTAAAAAAAAATGCATATTGAGTGTGCGACGAGTCGTTGTTGGGCTGGCCCCACAAGTATTATCCACAAACGAAACGGAAGTCGTTAAACCGACCCTCAACCCTTTCAAGGACAAAAACAAAAACAAAAGGAAATTAGAAAAAAGCAAAACAAAACCCAACGCTCAGAGCTCTCTCTCTCTCTCTCTCTCTCTCTCTCTCTCTCTCAAATTTCTCTGAACCAAACCCTAGCAGCCTGGCTGTTTGTAATGATTATCAGCCTACTACACAGACTTCCTAGTGCTTGAAAACCATCACCAGTTTCACACATTTCAAGGGGTTTCTCTCTGAAAGATTTGGGTTTTCTCGGTTTTGGCGTTTCAGAAGCTCTCGGAATTCGTGAATTTTCCTCGGTGCTATATACGTACGGCCAACCAATCGGCGATTTTGGAGCAATTGTACCATCCATTCGCTCATCAGAATTGGTTCCTCAGCCTAGGGTTTTCTGATTCTCTCAGGCTATTTGTAAGGATCGGTGCGAAGACAAGCGCAGAGGGCTTTTTCTAATTTCACTGAGATCTGTGAAATTTGATTCGAATTGCGACGATCGGCGGAGGATTGAATCTGTGGTGACTCTCGGAACCTAATTTGATTCGAAGCATCTGTTCAATGATCGGTTTTTGAAGGAATTGAATTGAACCGAAGAGAGAAGATTGGCGTATGGTCGGCGAAGAAGCTTCTGAAGAGCTCTCTCTCCCTGTTCTTCTGCGGTGGTTTGATTGTTCGATCTCAATAGATTAATCGAAGAAAAAAGAAAACGAAAAGATCTTCAACTTTTTTGTACTGTTTGATTTTTGTTTTTGGGAGTTTAATACAAGGCCTTTATATTTTTATTGGCCTTTGATTATCGTTCTCCTCGGGGCGTTTGTTTGTTCTTGTTGTGGTATTATTATACATATTTCTATTTTTTTGGAAGAAAAAAAAAGTATTGACCATGGCGGTGTATTATAAATTTAAGAGTGCAAGAGATTATGATTCAATTGCTATGGACGGTCCTTTCATCTCAGTTGGTATTTTGAAAGAAAAAATATTTGAATCCAAGCACTTAGGGAGGGGTACTGATTTCGACCTTGTGGTCACCAACGCCCAGACCAATGAAGGTTGGTTCTGATTTAGTTATTCCCTTCTGAACAATTTGTAATTAAACACAAATTTGGGTCATAGCAGGTGATATGAGTGTGTGTGTGTGTGTGTGTGTGTGTGTGTTGAGTGGTAAAATCATATATGATTTTGGAGATTTCAAAATTTGATTTTTGGGTATTTGTTCAATTTTCTTTTTATGCTTGTAGCTATCTATCTACATGTTGTTTATATAGAGGATGTTACATTGCCATACTTCAATTAACGTTGGGGTCACTAATTGCCACCATGTGCCTTGAAAGTTAAGTTAGATTGACCTTATGTGGTGGTTTAGTTTTGTTATCGAATGAACAAAGTTTGACCACCTATATGTTAAATTGACTCAATCTGAGAGGGGACAGGACAGGGTGTGTGAGATTGAAATCCATCTTTTGGAATGGTTAATCTGACTTAACTAACTAGGAACCATGGGTTATGGTTTGGGGAATCGCATTTTGGTAGCTTTTATCCTTGCTTTCATGGATCAATATCTTTGCTGTGTTTTTGTAGTCTTTATGTTCTATGTTTTGCAATTTCAGAGTATCTTGATGAAGCAATGTTGATTCCAAAAAATACGTCAGTTTTAATTCGACGCGTACCTGGACGGCCTCGCATGCCAATTGTTACTGATTCAGAGTACTATCTCAGATCCTTTAAATTCTTTAGTTATGTTTTTGTAAGGTCCATTATGAATTTTGAGTTGGCAGTATCAATTGTTATTGTGTTTAACAGACCTGTGATATGGGGGTAGTACCTGTTATTGTAACTTCTGTGGAGTGTGCCCAAGCAGTGCTATGTGCTTCAATAGGATTTTTGTGTTCCTTATGACCATTAGGACCAATTTCGAGGGTTGGTTGAGTTAGGTTTTATTTCCTTTATTGCAGGCCAAAGGTGGAAGATAAGGTGGAATATACTGAACCAGAAAGGACTAGCTTTCCGGCAGCTGATTCATCTGCCATGAAATATGTAAGCTTTAGTATCTACTAGATCCTGGCATGGTTGTGCTTTGCTTTGTGCAATCAGTCAGAGCTTTTAGTGATAGTGTGTTTATTTTGGCATTACAGCCTGATGAGTCAGATTGGGATGATCTTGGAGGTGATTTGTATGAAATTCCTGAAGTCTTGCCAGTGCAGACAAGTTATCAGGCTCCGGATGTTCAGCCAACAAATAAAGCCGATGAAGATAGCAAGATTAAGGCTTTAATCGACACTCCAGCCTTGGACTGGCAACAGTGAGATGCTTTCAGTTTTATTATTTAGTTCTGTGATAAATGATAGATTCATGGTCACTAATGCTGGATGATCTCTGTGTTGTATTTGCAGGCAAGGTCCTGATGGCTTTGGTCCTGGTAGAGGTTTTGGCAGGGGCATGGGTGGAAGAATGATGGGTGGACGTGGTTTTGGTGAGTCTTTTAAAATTACATAATTTTGTTTTACTTAATATGTCAGTGCTCATTCAATCTCTCTCTCTCATTTTACATGACAAAACTGATTTTTCTTTTCTTGATTGAGGTCGAGGAGGAGGGGGATTGGAGAGGAAAACACCTCCACAGGGCTATATTTGTCACAGGTGTAAGGTTCCTGGTATGTTCCTGTTCTTATTTCTTTCTTTGTGATAAATGATTATATCAGGAATGCACTTTTATTAGTTATATTTGACATATTGTATTTGTTTAGGGCATTTTATTCAGCACTGCCCTACAAATGGTGATCCAACTTATGACATAAAAAGAGTGAAGCCTCCCACTGGCATTCCCAAGTCCATGCTGATGGCAACCCCAGATGGCTCATATGCATTGCCAAGTGGTGCAGTAGCTGTTTTGAGGCCAAATGAGTAAGCTGATCTGGTGTTCTATATTTCATAGTTGTTATGCTTGCCTTCCAGTTGTTTGTATGAAAACTTACTATAATCTTTAATATGAAAACAGGGCTGCTTTCGAGAGAGAGATTGAAGGTTTACCATCTACACGGTCTGTTGGTGATCTACCCCCTGAGCTACACTGCCCGTTGTGCAAGGAAGTAATGAAAGATGCTGTGTTAACGAGCAAGTGTTGCTTTAAGAGCTTTTGTGATAAGTGTAAGTTATGATGTAAATATTATTGCCTAAATTTTGTAGCTTTTAAGAATTTCAACTTAATCCCTTGTAATCTTTTTGGTAGCTATAAATTTTCGTTGTATTCACACTGGGTGCCTTTATAATCAGGTATCCGGAACTACATTATGTCCAAGTCAGTGTGTGTCTGTGGGGCTACAAATACACTGGCAGACGATCTACTGCCAAATAAGACACTCAGGGATACAATCAATCGAATCTTGGAATCTGGGGGTAACAGTAGTGCTGACAATGCTGGGAGTACTTTCCAAGTTCAAGGTTTGTATTTCAATAATGTTCCTTCTCTTTCTATTTCCACCAGAGTAGTCATTTTCTGTTCGTATTAAACTTGTGATTTGTAATATTCAGATATGGAGTCTGCACGGTGTCCACAACCCAAGATTCCTTCTCCAACTCAATCTGCTGCATCAAGGGGAGAAGAACTACAGATATCTTTGAATAAAGAAACCCCGAAGATACAGGAAACCGCAGATGAGGTAAAGCCTGTTGTTGCCCCACAGCAGATTTTAGAGAAAGTGAGGACTACAAAAGTGGCTGATGTATCTGAAGCTACACATGAGTCAATGAGTGTGAAGGAACCAGCATCGCAAGGGAGTGCTCCACTTGTTGAGGAAGAAGTGCAACAAAGGCTGGCTTCTGGGGAGGCAGGTAATGTAGTGGTCTGGGAATTATAGTTCTCTGGTTCTGTTGGCCTACTAGTTCTGTTTTCGCATTTTTTCATGGTGCATATCAAGTTCTATGTGTTTTCTTGCTTTCTTGACATACAGGAGTTGGATGGATGTTGAGTAAAAGAATTTTCTTAAAAATAAAGCTTAGTTTGACTCCAAAAAAAAATAGTTGGAAATGTAGTGATTACTTATTTGTTTGTCATTGTATGTGCATTACAGGAAAGAAAAGGAAAAAGAAGAAAGTTCGCATGCCTGCGAATGGTATGGCTCTTCCTCCTACTTTGTTTTGTGAACTTAAAGCTTTCTATCTATCATATAAATTTGAATTGGATACTTCAATCCTTGTGCTTTTATAGATGCCATAATGTAATTACATTCAATGCAGACATGCAATGGAGAACCTCGCAAGATCTTGCAGCTGATAACTATGTGATGCCTATGGGCCCCGGTGCATATAATCCATACTGGAATGGCATGCAACCTGGCATGGGTATGGAAGGATATATGGCACCATATGGTGGTCCTATGCCATATATGGGTTATGGACTAGGCCCATTGGACATGCCATTTGGGGGTTTTGGTCCACAGGACTCATTCGGTGCTCAAGGTTATATGATGCCCATGGTTCCGCCTCAGAGGTATACATTTGTCTCATTTGAATTTCTCTCTCTCTCTCTCTCTCTCTCTCTCTCTCTCCCTCTATAGATATTTGTACTTTCTCTTATGCGTGCAATTCAATGGTTTTTCCCCCTGGAGTCATTTTTGTGGAAAAAGTAGGTTTGCAGGTGTAACCAGTGCCCTAAGATAATGTCAATTGATGCTTGCAAGTTACAATTTAATGCTTTTTCCCTCCTTTCGGCCCCACAACCTAATGTGTTTGTAATCTTGGACTTTATTCAGGGATTTGGCTGACTTTGGCATGGGCATGAATGGCATGAATGGCATGAATGGTATGAATGGCATGAATGGCATGAATGGCATGAATGTTGGACCCCCTGTCATGAGCAGAGAGGAATTTGAGGCTCGAAAAGCTGATTTGAGGCGGAAGCGTGAAAATGAGAGACGAGGCCAAACGTAAGACTGAAAACTGGATTTTTTTTTCTTGGAATTTTTATGCATATGGTATAACTTGGAAAACATGAGTATCTGTTATATGTGATTTGATAGCCATGTTATGTGAAGATTTTTTTAATTCAGTTTCTGTTAGATGCCATTTTCTAGTGTGGTCCACCAAAGGGTTTGGATTCCATTTTAGATGCAATTCCATTGTAAGGACACAACAGATGTGAGATCTGTTATTTTGATTGAAATGTGGAATTCATTTTTAGTAAGTTGAGTTGGTACTAAGAGATAGTAAAGTGCGATGCAAGCTTCACGAATCTGATGTGTTTGTTTATGATTCTGTATGTGAAACAAAATTATGATGCTGTTTTTTTCTCTTTGGGGAGAGTATAGAGATATTTGAAAGGAGAAATCCTTCAGTAGTGGGGCTATGTATGGCTGTTTGCCCTTTTGTGTCCCACAGTTTTTAGTATATGGGCAATATCTCATAATAGGATCTAATAGTACTATTCTTCTGAGAAATGGACAACTTGCCTATAATCTTATGGCAATTGGTTGCTTTTCCTCCCAAGCAGTAGTATCTATTTTTACATGGTTGAGTAATTTATTTTATTTTATTTTTTTATATTTCAGCAGGGAGTTCTCCAAAGATCGGGAATACGGAAGGGAAGTGAGCAGCGGTGGTGGCGATGGCGCTTCTATGAAATCCAAATCTGTACGTCTTTATTGTGCCAATTTCCCTCTCTTCTTATCATTTGTATACTGCAGCAGCAGGGTTTTCTTAAGGTTTTTATCAACACTCTTTCAAGGAGAGACCAAGTTGGCAATAGGACACCAATTTGGCCAGAGAATGCCAAAGAGTCTAGGATATATTAGTCTGTTTTCCTTATCAGTTATTATTGTTCGATCAGTCTTTATTTTATTTTTGTGTCATTATATTATTTCTTTTCTTCGCAATGCTTCATTTGGTCATGGGGATATTAAATGGAGAGAACACATTGTAGTTTGGCTGCCCTTTTTCACGGTGGCTTGAATCGATCGAGAGTACATGGAAAACGGCTAAATGTGGCCGAAACTGAGGTCAATTAGAGTTCTGTTCTGTTGTTTTAGCAACATGTTCAGATTACCCTAGTATACAGCCTTTTGAATCCCATTAATTCCAACTTATATTTGCCAGGACTCAAAATTTAATAACCTGCTTCTCTGTTTTTTTTAACGTCTCTGAGTTGAATTTATTTTTTAAATAAAAAGAAAACCAATAGGAGTCATCTTGGATCATGTTTACACTGGTCTGAGATGCTAATTTATTTATTTATTATTATTATTTTTTATATATGATCCTCAAGTGCTTGCTGCAGGTTCAGAATTGAATTTCTGCACTCTGTACAGGATGAATGTTTTTAACAATGGTTTTATATTATATTTTATTATTTTTGGTTAACCATTTCTACTTCCTTTCTGAGTTCTGGCTGCAAAGTTGGATTGGAGTAATTAATGGGATCGCAGGGTGTAAAGCCAACGGCAAAAAAATAAAGTGTTATCGATGTTTTTTGTTTTCCAAAATTTGAAAACCGAACGAAAAAAATAAATAAAGGGAACAAAGGTGTTTAAGAAAAGTGGGTGTTAGTTTCGTAAATGCATTAAAAAAAAAACGTAAAAGCACTTGGCAAAAAAGAAAAAAGAGAGAAAATAATGGGTAACAGTGAAAAGTAAATGATTTTTGTGAGAATTAGTACTGCGGGAAAAGTTGACTTATTGGGTCTTTTTGGTTTTTCTTCTTGTTATGCATTGCAGAAGTCAATTGCTCGATCACCAAGTCCCGACTACAGCAACAGCCACCAGCATCGTCACAGACGCGAGAGGTCATCTCCAGAACGAAGGCCCTCACGTGATCCACGTGACCTGGAGCCACAGCCACCGCGTCCTCCCAAGAGAAAATCAGACCACCACGACAGAGATCGCGAACGCGCCCAAGACCGAGATCGAGGTCGAGACTATGACGATTACCATGAGGATGACCAGCAACAGCGCCAGAAACGACATCGTTCTGATTCGTCCTCTGCAAAACCACCACCTTCCACTGAAACAACAACAGCATCGGCCAAACCTGCCTCCTCCTCCTCTACGGCATCAGCTGCAGCAGCTGCCGCAGCGGCGGCGGCGGCGGAGCGCAAGCACAAGGCAAGCGTGTTTTCTCGCATAAGCTTTCCGGAGGGGGAAGTGAGCAAGAAGCGGGCTCGCGCGGCTTCTCCGGCGGCGACGGAGGATAACAAGCCGTCGTCGGCGCATCATCACAAGGAGTCGTCTTCGTCATTGGCAAATGGATCCGCGTACGACGAGTATAAAATGACGTCGTCGTCGACTGCCAAGGCTGGGAGTGGCGGAAGTGGAAGTAGAAAGGCTATGGTTAGCGCTGCTGCTTCTATGGAGTATGAGTCGAGCGACGACGACAGGCACTTCAAGAGGAAGCCGTCGAGGTACGAGGCGTCGCCGCCGCAGAAGGCGGAGCAGGAAGAGTCCAGGCACTCCAGAGGCAGCACCAGGGACCATCGGGATCGCAGGCATAGATAGAAAGAGAGATCAGATAAGAGTAGATCAGAAGAAGAAATCAAACAGTGGGCCTAATTGGCAATTTGCTGTTTTTGTGTTTTGCTCTCTCTCTCTCTCTCTCTCTCTCTCTCTCCTTTATTGGGCCTTGGAGGTGATTGTATCACTGTATATGTAAGATGCCCATAGGCCACGGGAGCAATTGCTTGCTTGTTCCTGCTTGAAATTTGATATTTTTGTTTAACCTCTTCTGTCATGAAATACTAAATTACAAAATATGAATAAGAGACTTCTCTCTTCAATTTCAAGGCTGCTTGCTTTATACATATATTTTCTTCACTCAATTATCCGAAAGTTCAATCGTCTGGCTATTGTTAGATGTCACAAGTTCAAATTCTCCCTCTTTGTTAATAAAAATAAAAATAAATAAAGAAAATTTCAGTTCTGACCAAAAAATAAATACAACTTAAAGAACCAAAATGAAATATGAAATGAAACCAAACTTCAAGCAAGCATAATGATCTGAATTCAAACAATAATGACCTCAAATCTTAACCCTCTAAACCTTTACAAACAAAAATTACGATCAAATTTGCAACAATAAAAAGGACAAAACAAATCATACAACAAAGGCACCCTAATGATCTTAATACAGACCATAATAAGCTAAAAATCCAAATCTTACAACTTTACCCACACACACACACACACACACACACAAAAAGTACAAAGAAGATTTTACAAGGCAAAAAAGATTTTAAAAAAACTGCAATATAACACTCTTTAAATATAATAATATACTAGCCTCTCAGCATATGTTTTTGCGCCTGCGAAAGGCTTCTTCTAAAAAAATTTAAATTTATTTAAGAATTAAAAAAGATAATGGGTAGTTGTGTTCCATAAAATAGGATCCATTATCTTATTTGAATTTGAATTTTTTTTAATATGAAAAGTGTGAATTTACCATATTATCCTCATTTAATTAATAATTTCAATTCTTAACGTTTGCATTAATCAAGAGCATTTTCTGGTATTTTGAATGTTTCACAATTCTCTACATTTTGCTTTTATATATATAGATTTAAAAGGTATAGTCACATGGCTATATTATTAAAATATTTGAATATATTCAAAGAGTATAGCCGTGAGGCTATACTATTAAACTATTCGAATATATTTAGAGTATAGCCGCGCTGCTATACTTTTTAAACCCTTCTTCTTCAATATAAATGCTATTATGAACCAAAAAAAAGCTTCTGAACACTAAGGAAAATAACCAAACCAAATACAAATATTAGGAAGATAACTAAATTGCTTCCGAGCTTTCCAACCATATTTGTTTCTCAAAACTTATGGGTAATTTGACCACTCAGAAATCTTGTAGAAGGAAATTGATATCTTGGATAATCGTTGAGGAACATATGCCAACGAGGTCTAGTCCAATTGGAAAAAACCTTGAATTATAGACCGATAGTCTCAGGCTTGAACTTGTGACACCTTGGTAGTGTGATTGTGGGAAAAACACCCTCCTCCTTGACTATGGCAAAAACAAAACAAAATTATTAAGCCTAACAAATATTGAAATCACATTAGTAACCACAAGTAATATCTAGATACTTTAATCCAATTAATACCCAAATATCTTAAGCCTAATTTATACCCAACTAAATAACAACTCTAGTCCTACTTTTTTTCCTGTTCGATGAACCATAGTCGTTCTTCTTGTTGCGTTTACGTATTTCTCTTTTTTACACCGCTCTCTCTTCCTCTTTATTGATTCAACTTTTTCTCTATTCTTTCTATTTCTCTCTTCTTCACTTCTTCCTATTTTTCTCTTATTCTAAAATGCAAACGGAATGAACCGAATTGAAACCGTATAGGTTTGATTCGGTTCCTCTAGACACTTGGTATAAAAACCATACCGTATGTAACTATTGGTTTTGATTCCAATTCAAGGGGTAAACCAGACTGTGCCCACCTTAAAAACACAGTATCAATTATATTCTCTTACATTATAAAGACTTATAGGTCGGAAATGATTAACTCATTCATGAGGATTATTTTTTGGAATTAAAGTGAAAAAGTATGATTAATTTGGGAAATAGAGTGTCCATGAAAGCATTAACCAAATTAGAAAAGAATTTTTAAACATTTTTTATTTATTTATAAAACCCGGGGATGGTGGTTTCTCACACACACTACCAAAATACCTGTAGGGTTCTAACTTTTGATCATAGGTCTCTAAATCAAGGGCTTTTTCTACTAGGCTAGACCTCGTTTCTCAATAACAATATCATATTTAATTATAGAAATAGGAATTGTAAAAACGCGTAAATAATATTGTCTAGTTTTGTTTTGTTTTGTTTTTTTCTATCCCAAAAGAGATGATGTAGTTTGTGTTTTTTTGACAGGAGAATGAAAAAACCTACTAAAATCAAGGTATTCCGTTCTGATTCCGGGGTATATCTCCGATACCTTCCTAACTGTGCTTGCTTCACCTACTTTCAGGAAATGTTTGCAACACAACTTTTGAAAAAAACAACTCATGTTTTTATTTCTAAATTAGCATAATACACCAGTAACCATTAAGCTTAAGCTTCAACATACAAAAATACAAATCATAATGCAACGCCTTTTCATAGTAAAACCCAACACAAGACCTACCAAATGGCAAAGACCCAGATACTCAGAAGGAAAAATCTATGAAGAAGTCAAGGTGGGAATCATTCCAGCTTCTCTAGCATATGCAAAAATCCCACCAGCCTTAATAACAGGGCCCGCATCCCCAATGGGCTTCAACGTGTACTCTTTCCCAGTCGTGTGATTGATCAGACGGCTCTCGCTCAGCTCGATGCTCACCACATCTCCAGTCTTGCACTCCTCGCAAACCCTAACCTCCGACTCCAGCGGGTACACCTCGCCAGTCGCCACCGAGTTCCTGAAGAAGATGCGCGCGTAGGACTCCGCCACTACCGCAGCAACGCCCGCCGCCCCTAGGGCCACTGGCGCGTGCTCGCGCGATGACCCGCACCCGAAGTTTGCGCCCGCGATTATGATCGAGTACTTGGACTTGGTCTCATCCGGGTCCACGAAGCGCGTGGAGTAGGCGTCCGGGAGACCGCAGAGCGCGTAGGATCCGAGCTTCTCGTACTCGGAGGGGTTGGAGGGGACTAGGGTCAGGTACTCGGCGGGGATGATCTGATCGGTGTCGATGTTATCGTTGAGGACGTAGCAGAGGCCGTGGAATGTGGTGGATGGGGTTGTGGATGCGGCGGCACGTGTGGAGAAGGTGGCGCGTAGGGTTGGGGTTTGGAGTAGGGGCGCGTGGGTGAGGGATTTGATGGTGGATGGGGATACGGTTGGGAATTTGAGAAAGGTGGGGGTAGAGAGGGGGTGGGAGGGCTTGTGGGTGGTGGTGGTTGTGAAGCTAGGGTTTGGAGAGAGAGAGAGTGAGATGGCGGCCATGGCTGGAGCTTGGAGCTTGAAGCTTAGTGTAACAAACAGGAAATGAATTGGGGTGGGTTTTTCGTTTGATTTTTAACTTGGTAGGTTTTAAGTGGTGGAGTGGAGACTTGGTGTACGACGGTGAAGATGGTGTCGTTTTGATGTGGGCAGGCAGACGTGTGTGAATTAAACTCTCCTACATTTTTATCGAAGAACTCCCCAACATTGAAAAATAACACCATCATCAATAATCAATCAATTTCATTTCAACCATGAAGCCTATATAACTTTAGTCATCTGCCACTGCATACCATAAACTATTATCAGCCAAACTGTATTTTTTTTTTTTAAACAAAAAAAAATTCTTATAAAAGAAACTGATTTGTTTTGGTTTGCGGTGAAAATGGAACTGATCCTTCAGAGAGAGAGAGAGAAAGAGGGGTACCGGTCCGGGTAGAAAGCTGTCACGTGGTCATATTATCGTAGTATTTTAAGTGAGAGTGAAGGTTTGTGGTGATGAACTCCCGCAGTATATTTGTTTGCCTTTATGGCCTTTGAAAACGGGGAATTTTCAAATTTGGCCCGATTAGGCCAGGAGCTGGGCTAAAAGGGCATTTTCAAGTTTGGGCCTATTAAAAAAGAGCCTGTCTAGAAACCAGGAAGGAAAACACGATGTCGTTTGCCGTAAACGACACATCGTCTTTTCGAGACAATTTAAAGATTAGGGTTTGTAAAAAAGAATGGACGGCTCAGATCCGAAGTTCACGATACCTTCCAACGCTATAAAGTCCCGGTTTCATCACAAACCCTCACTCTTCGTGTGGCGAAAACCCTAGCTCAACTGCCGAAACCTGTGCCTTGCAGCTCATTTCTGATACGATGGGTACCTCTCTCTCTCTCTCTCTCTCTCTCTCTCTCTCTCTCACAGATTTTGTTCCATTTTCATTTTGAATTTTATGCATCTGTTTCTGTTTATATAACAATGAAACTTCAGCTGAATCTGTTTGATATGCATTTGATTTGTCTGATGCTTAGCTTACCGAGCTTCTTGTTGTTGATTTCCAAGCTTACAGAAGATGAAAATTTTATGAACTTAAAATCTTTTGTTATTTCCCTTGTTCCTTATATCTACTAGCCCGTCCACCGCATTTCCAAGTTTTAAATAGTTTGGCTGATAGTCTTTAGTTCAAAGTAGTTATTTGACTAAAGTTAGTTTTCATAATTTGAATGAAATTAATGACACTGTTATTGACACATTATGATTTGGTTTTTGATTGCTTAAAATGGGTTTAATCTGAAATTGATTTCCTTGAAGTGCTTGAGTTGGGTGATTACAACATTAGAAACAATCTATAGAAACTGATGGACATGGGTATTGTTTGAGATTGGGATGTGTAGCTTTAGATGTTTATAGATATTAATTGAGTAATGATCTGTTTATCTAATATGTGGTTTTGTTTGTGTTATTTTGGGGGCATTAGGAGCCTACAAGTATGTGTCGGAGATATGGAGGAAGAAGCAATCCGATGTGATGAGGTTCCTCCAGAGGGTGCGCTGTTGGGAGTATCGCCAGCATCCTTCCATCGTCCGTGTCACAAGGCCCACACGCCCTGACAAGGCTCGTCGTTTGGGTTACAAGGCCAAGCAGGTAGTGATAATTTCTTAAATTACATGCCATACACAACTCATTGTTTAAATTATGGGTTTCAGCGTTTATCACCAAGTTTAATAGGCTTCTGGCCATTTGATATACATGTATTCCCATGTTTGTCTTTTGACTCTATGAAATGATAATTATGGTTGCGTGTTGTGAAGGATTACTGTCTTATCTGGTGCTTATCTTGTGGTCTATTAGGTTCATTTCATTCTTTCAGTTGTGCATGCATGCTTCCTGTTGTGAATTGTTTCCTTTTTGTTGTGCGCCTATGGGCCTAATCCAGTATGTGTGCTGGTTAAGCAGCATTCTGATGCTTCAGCATTGTACCTAAAAATGCTGCTTTCCTTAAGTGATTGTATGCTTCCTGAGACCAGCTATGCTAAACCAAACAATTGATCTTCTGCCAAGCGAGTTCTATCTATGGTTTTTGCTGTTGTCTCCATCCGATACATTGCACTATTTTCTGTATCCTATATATTTCTTTGAACATGTGTTTTTGTTGTCTCTTCTCATGCACCTCTTGGTCTTTGTGCCCCAGCCAGGTTTAATTGAATTTTTAGTTGGCTGATAGTTCTAGTAAAATTTGGTGCAGGGTTATGTTGTTTACCGTGTCCGTGTAAGGCGTGGTGGTCGCAAGAGGCCTGTTCCCAAAGGTATTGTATATGGGAAGCCCACAAACCAGGGTGTGACACAACTAAAGTTTCAGCGCAGCAAGAGGTCTGTTGCTGAGGAGCGTGCTGGCCGTAAGTTGGGAGGCCTTAGGGTTCTCAACTCATACTGGATCAATGAGGTTTGTGACTCAGTTTTGATTCTAATATACTTGGGTTACAGAACTTGTTTTTATTTATTTATTTGTTTCTTGGGCTTGATGTTTGTTTAATTTTGTGATGTCCTGCTTACATTTCCTGTTTTGCTGAATGCAGGACTCAACCTACAAGTACTTTGAGGTAATCCTGGTTGATGTTGCACATAATGCTATCCGTAATGACCCAAGAATCAACTGGCTCTGCAATCCTGTTCACAAGCACAGAGAGCTTCGTGGGCTCACTTCCGCTGGGAAGAAGTACAGGGGACTGCGTGGAAAGGGACACTTGTACCACAAGGCACGACCTTCCCGCAGGGCTACCTGGAAGAGAAACACCACCCTCTCCCTTCGTCGTTACCGTTGATTTCGATCATTTTATCTTATGTTTTGTGTTGTTTCTGGGTACTTTCAGGAAGACAATCTTTGTTGTGAGTTTGAAATTTTGGCACTTAAAAACTTGAACCATGTTCTATTTGAATGGATTACCGTCTATTTTAGTCTCTTGTGCTATTGTTAAGTGATTAGTTTTATATATGTTGCAAGGTTCCAATTATCTTTTATGGTGAATTTTTCTTACGTTGTGGCGTGTTTTGGGAGATTCAGTTTTCTGGCTTGTTTGATGTACGGTTTCCACAGCCAAATAGATTTATTTGGTCTACTGCTTTGTAGACGGTAGACCCTTATTTTTTTTTGGGGGTCGAAGAACGGTAGACCTATTCATGTTGCCTGTAGACATCAAAATCTCAATAAGATGTTAAACGAGAAAAGCATTGAATTTGTGAGTTGGATGTCAAATTCTTAACACAAGCAAAAATTAAAACTAACTTGAATGGAATGGATGCAGAAATAAATTAATTTGATTTTCATTAGAAGATAAAACCTCAAGCCAATTCAATGAAATGAGTTGAGTTCTTTTGGTTCACGAACTTTATGCTATGAGCATACAAAAACTCAAACTTGACTTGAAATTTTAGCGAGTTTTATAACTTCTTTTCTCTAGTGTCACTGACGTGTTGGAAATAATTGAGGTTTTGAATGAGCTTAGAATTGAGTAAATCAGACACCGCCATATCATTTGGTGAATAAATTTGACATCGTGTTGTGTTATGAATACAACAATGTTCTGCATGGCATTTCCAAAATAGGAGGAAAGAATATTGTGGGTTTTTAAGGTCTTGAGACTACAGCCTTCCATGAATGTAGCTGTCTTTCAAATTATGCAGTGCTTCTCTGATTGAATCCTCATCCTGGCTGGAGTACTTCAAACATATCAGCCGCTGAGCGACATGGTACGCCATCTGGATCGGTTGGTATTGAAGGCAGTTTACTTCCATCCTCTTCACTTCCTAAACATTGAAATTTTAAATTTCTTAGTCACTGGTTAATGACGAAGGGACTTCCATTCAGAATACCAGAATCACTCTTAAATTAATTCAGATCCATTTATAAAAAGAAGGCAAAAAAGTACAAGATAAATTATATGGATTTCAATGACATTGCATTGCAATGGGACTGAACCACTTCCTTTGTTTTTTGACGTGGGGTTAGCAGTGTTCTGGAAATTCCTGGCCCTATTTCATCTTAAATCAGATTTTGAGGAAAAATACCAATATAAAAAGAAGACTCTATGTTTATGGCAATGCGAATATATAAGATAACTTTCAATTCTTGGTTACTCGAAATAATTCACCTTTTCTGTGATCCTGGATGTGATGTTTCTGGCTATTTCAATTACTGAGCTTGGCAGTCCTGCCACTTCTGCTAATAGAAGGCCATAGTGCGGAACATGTCTCGCTCCGTCCTTCAGTTGAAACTACGCAAACAGACAAGACTTTCAGCCACCAAAAGTCACATAAAATCAAGATTAGAGTGAAAGGATCTTGGAAAAACTACCTTGAAATCTAGACGGTTATTTTTAATGTCAACATCAAAGTGAAGTATTTTCACATTTGGATAGACGGTTACTAGTTCTGATAGGTTTTCCATATGAGTAGCAAATATAGTATACCTGAGAAAGATTGAGTAGGATGGTATGTTAGCTTCTGCAAATAAAATTTCATCACTAACTAGGCTTTGTATGACATCGTTCATAAGAAAAAGCCTTGGAAAAATGTAAACAAAAGCTATGGTAGTTGATAAGCACTGACAGAAAGGACCACAAAGACAATAAGTTCTTAACTACCAAAACCAGATAGAACTAAACAATAATATTATTTCTAAATGCGTCTCACTTCTGTAGTCTTGTGGTATGCCTACTTATCTAGACGAATCATATGGCAGTACGTAAAAAAGGATGAGTTAATTGGTTTCTTTTCTCCCATACATTCTTCCATTCTTTATGTATGCTTAATAAGTTTGTCGCAGATTTTCACAACAATTGGAAGCATTTAGCTTCAATGCAAGTGATATATAAGCAGCTTCAATTGTTTAATATAGTGAAAACCGTGTGCATCAATTTTTAAAGGAACACATTTTAAACTTTTCCTTACTCAAAACTCATAAAATTTCATCTGAGGTAACCCACTGGAACCTCGGTAAATGGTAAATTGGAAAAGAGATTACGCTTTCAGTGATAACAAATGTTCGCAGCAGCTCCAAGCAATTGCAAATCCATCAGAAGAAGATGTAGCCCTCCCAAGTTCATCCATAACAATCAGACTCCTATGTCCAACATGGACCAAATATTATTGGATATTACTGTATATTCAAAGGGTTAAATAAATCTTGTGGTGTACTACCTCTGGGAGACATTTTGCATGATAAAAGCTGTTTCTTTCATTTCTGTCATGAACTGTTACAAATAATAAGAAAATTCCTTTCTAAATATTCCGTATTAAATAGAAATAAGGTGCATCACTAAAACATATGGGGGATCCATATTTCTGATATTGAAGTTCGAAAAATTTACCGTACTAGAGTTGGATTCAAGATTATCTACTGTACCCATCCTTGTAAATATACGATCAACAACCCTTAGAGTTGAGAAGCGAGCAGGAACATAACAACCGATCTGAGCAAGAATAACTATAAGACACACTTGTTGAAGGTAAGTACTCTTTCCACTCCTGGCAGAAACATTCCGTAGTTAAACTCAAGCAAACGATAACCTAATTGGTCACATTCTTTAAACATATATGAATATTCATCTTATGGTCAAATATATTTTTTCTATGGTCAAATATATAAATATCAGTACAAAGCCCATACGGCTTATGGTCAAATATATTTTCCTACTGTTTCTTGGTAAAAATATGATTTTCATCTTCACCATTTAACCTGTCTTCTAACAACTAATAACTGGATGAAGCCGGCAAGACAATGCATGAGAAAACAACACTTCCATGTATTACTTGAAAAGAGAATTCCTTACATGTTTGGGCCTATGATAAGCACCATGTTTGACGCCTGTGATAAAAATATATTGTTGGGCTGCAAGGAAAAAGGAAAAAAGAAAATAGCTATAGTTTTTCTGCAGAATCTCAAGCAAATTCATGAGGAGGAGAGAGTAATCCAATTATAGAAAATAAAGCATTACGTACGACGAAGTCATTGTGTATGGTCTCTAGGATAGGGTGTCTTCCAGCATCAATTGCCATGGGACCATTATCTATAAGTAAACATGATAGAATCAAGCATTTCCCCTATTGAACATCCAAATTCATGAGCGATAATTCCAGACAATAGCTACTTGCCTGTAAATTCTGGTCTGGTGTAACGATCAACTGGCTTTGTGGAAATGGCGTGTGCAAATGAATTAACGATCATATCCAAAAGGCATAAGACCTCTGCAAGCAGTGTGAGTGCAGAAACATCCTCTCGTATGGCATCTACTAATTCTGCATATAAGATATCAAAATCAGTAATCTATGATGGTATCAGCACTGCAGCAGTTGAAACATATATAAGAAGATATCACAGGCTTCATGAACATAAAAGGTCATTATATATGTCTAAACATCATCGTTTGGTAAGCTTGAGTATTTGGTAAACAATGATGTTCAAAAAGTTCCGCAATAAGATCAAAAAGATCAAAATGAAGCCAACCGTACTAAGCTTATTGTTCTAAAGATCAATGCTTATATAAGTGCAATGAAGAAAGTAAACAAAAGTAATGATGTAGAACAAGTAACAAGAACTCAAAAACAGAAGATGTGTAAGCTTATCAAGTTTAGCACAACCTTCCAGGCAAACTTCTGTCCGTATGTAGCATTCTGCAGCTGCAGACTTATTTCTAACGTTTAGCTGTAAATTTCATGCAATGGAGAAAGATAAATGTAATTTTTCCAGAATCTTCACTGAAGTTACAAAGATATAAAATGTTATTGATACTCGATAATAAAATAGACACATGTACACAAAATTTTATAATGAAACTCGGATTTATTCACAAAAATGTTATTACAAGTTACGACAACTAATAAAACGGTGCCATGTTGCTTTTTACTCTTATTTATGTTGAAGGCCTTGATTTTTGTTTTAAAAAACGCCACAAGTAATTGACTCAGCAGAACAATGTTTGAGACTAACATCTTTTGACATGGAAAACTACAACACATAAATGTTGCAAAAATTAAGAAATAAAGGCACCAACAACACCTATATCTAAGATTGCTGATTGAGTTGGTCTCCTATGAATGATCCCTTTGATTAGCTAGGTTCCTTCAAGAGATGTATACCCTGAAACTACGCCTCCTAAAATTCACAGTTGTAACTGAAGATGATCTCTGTGAAACTGCTTAACCTAATTTGTTAGTCCAAAATAAAGATGGGAACTGAGTCCACCTTAGAATTGAAGTTCTTAGCAAAATCAATCAAATATATCATTACCAATTTCATTCACCTGCCCTGAAATTGATATGCAAGTCTAAAAGACAAGCATAACTCAACTCATTGTAGTTGAAATGGCAACATTTTATGTTGTAACTAATCAAGGAAATGCCAACAGTTCACAGACAATAAAGGCAGTACAAATAGAACCTTAAAAGTAGTATTTTGCAATGAAAAAATGACGTGAATAATAGAACAATCATAACCTAGAGTAAGTAAATTTGATATAAATAGAAAATTTGATCGTAGTACTCACAGAAGCAAGCTCCAAGGTTGAGCAGTGTAAATTGTTACCATGTTTCAATACCTATGTCAGAGAAGCATATGAGAATCAGAAATAACTAGTGAAGAGATGTTTAGTACTTTAGAGCAAGTTTTATTCTAAACCTGAATGAACTGACTAGGAAGCTTCCCTTGAATGTCCTTATGTGGAATGCTAAAGTAGAACCCTTTCCTATTGTTAAATGGGAGTTTCAAATTGGGCAACTTGAAATCTTCACGATACTTGTTAGCAAGATTATGTATAGCTGTTAATTC